CTGGCATTATGTTTACTACACATTTAACATATTGTTTAAGCCTCACAACAACCCCATGTGTTAGGTTCTCATTATCCCCCATTGTGCACAAGAGGAAAAAGAGCGACAGGTTAAATAACTAGGTCTAGGTTGAGGTACGTTCTGTTTCAAACCCAAGGAACCTGACACTAGAGCCTGTGTGCCCGTTAAGTGTGCCATTCTGAACTGATCAGAGAACAGTGCCATGGGCAAAACTCTGTAGTGCCGGTTACAGGATAAAGACGAAGGTTGAAAACAGAAGGGATGGTAGTAAGAAATTGCATCAGGGTCGAACTATGCATTGCATGACCGGGAGCAAATGCAGGATGGGAATTTGCTTATGTGATGGTGAGTGTTCCGACTAAAGTGATGGTTTCCTGTGGTGAGTAATGGTGAGTCAGGCATGCTTTCCTTCTTTTTTTCTCCTAGTAAACTTCTCTGCATTCTTCCAAATCTAAACTATATCATCACTTCTGTGACGCTTTCCCTGTGTCCCTCAGAGTTAGTTGTCTTTGGACTCCTGAAGCTGTTTATATATGTATGTCACTATTATAGGATGTAAACTATCATATTCTACTTTTTTATTCATAGATTCTATTCCCCCCTTCCCCACATCCCCTTCCCCACCCCGGCCATCTTCAGTTCTTTGAAGTCAAGGGGCTAAATGCAGTTATCAGTTACTTAGTGAGTATTGAACTTATTTGTTTATTGAGTGAATAGATGAGTTCCTTAGTTGGTCCAGATTTAAAGGCTCTTTAAAGCTAGCTTTAGAATAATTGGGACAGAAAAATCTATATTTAGGAGAATTTATCTGGTAATGAAGTACAGATTGGATTGGAGTTGGGAAAGCTGTCATCAGGTGATCAGATAAGGGAAATTATGATAATCTAGGCAGGAAGTGGTTAGGGCCTGGTAGAAGTAGTAGTGAGGGAAAAGGTACAAATCTGAAAAATAGTATAAAGTAAGCATCAGACGTGATGACGTTGTGGGCATAGAAGATTTGAGGAAGAGTCACAGAAGATTTCAGATTATGTGACCCTCCTCTTTCAAGTTTTTCTTAAAATTTATTAGGTGATTATGGGTCTTGGTTGACTTAGTAGTTCCTTAATAAATGAGTCAGTAGTAAAGGTCTCTGAACTGCTAATCATGAGCAGTACAATAAAAGGGGCAGATAAAGTCAATGCAGGCACAGTTGAAAGCTCTTCCACTTTGCACATTTTAACTCTTTCTGGAACAGAAAAGTTTGGTTTATTTTAGATATATACATAGTTTTTCAAGAGTATATTCTGAGCCTAGTATAACTCATCATCCTGCCCAAGGATTTTAATTCCCTATTGAGGTAAGCCAAGTAACTATGAGGGAAGCATACGCTTATGGGATTGTAATAGTTTGTGTTGCTACCCTGGCATCTCTGAAGACAAATAAGTGATGGTTCCTAGGAATCCAGGAGTCTTATGCTCAGACTTCACCTGCATGCTAGCTGCAGGCCCCCAACTTGCTCTAAATAGTTGTGTTAATAGAGGAAAAACACAGTTTCTAAGTTCAGAGTCTGAAAATACTAACATAAATGTTAAAAATAAGTATAACATTAAGTTTTTAAAAATGTGTATGTGTACTTACAGAAACAAATCATAATATAAAGCAATCATTCTTGTGTAACTAACACTCAGATAAAGAAAGGAAATGTAACCAGCATCCCCGAATTCCCTCTCCCCAAAGGTAACCGTTATTCTGATTATAACACCATAGATTCGTTTTGCTTGTTTTTGAAGACTAACATATAATGAATACTAAAACATGTATTCTGACTTCTTTCACTCAACACTGCGTTTGTGAGATTTATCCATGTTGCTGCAGGTAGCAGTATTCATTCACTCTTATTGTCTTACTGTAGTCTTCTGATGAATAAGTCACAATTTATCCATTCCACTTGTGGTGGACATTTAGGTTCTTTTGACTTTTTTGGATATTATGAATAATGGTGCTGTGAATATCTGTGTACTTCTTTTGGGTATATACGTTTCCCTGATGACTAAAAGGTTGAGCACTTATTTTATGTATAGGCTTTTTGAATACCCTTTTATAACTATTTGCCTATCAAAAATATTGAGTTGTTTGTCTTTTCCTTATTGATTTGTAGAATTATTTTATATAGTAAGTCCTCACTTAACCTCTGTAACTTTAACTGAAGGGATGTAGAATGAAACTAGTTTTACACAGGCTGTGGTATAAACAAGAATTAAGTTCCTATGACATCTCATCAATGTTATATAACAAAACCACGCTGAATGAAACAACGTTATTTGAGGACTGATGAGAGTTCTGCTAGTTGTTTATATTGGAAATATCTTCTCCCATTTTGTGGCTTACTTTTACTCTCTTCATTGTGCCACCTGATGCACATTCTAATGTATCAATCTTTTTCTTTATGTTTAGTGCTTTTATGTGTCTTGTCTAAGAGATTTTTCCCTGCCAAGGTCATGAAGATGTTCTATATTCTTTTCTAGAAGCTTTGTTGTTTTACCTCTAATGTTTTCTATCTACAGTCCAAGAGAAATTTTTTTTGCACGAATGTCTTACTTGGTTTGAAGCTGATTTGTCCTTAAGTTCTTCAAGCTCTATGCCTTAGATCTCAAGCATAAGACGGGAAGCAGTGGGATGTATCTGAGTCCTCAGTGTTCTTCATAAATTAGTCACTGTGGTGCTTGAATAGCCTTTGGGAACTGAAGCCGCCTCTCCCTGCCATACCGTGGCACTCCTTTGTTTTATGTCCTTTGTCCCTTTTATTACTTGAAAATGTAGACTATGTGGAATATTACCACATCTTTACTTGTCATTAATTTCTTAACTCACTGTAGTGTGGATTCTGGCTTTACCACCTGCTTGAAACAGGCTTCTTGCCAAATGGGGGAAATTTTCTAGTATCTTCAACCAGTTGCAGGTCTTGAACATATTTTTTATCATTACATCTCTCTTCTGATTGTATGACCTTGGCAAAGTCTCAGCCTCCTTTTCTTTTGTAAACTTACATAGATTTAATTTTGAAATCCAGTTGGAAGAGCCCTACTAGCTAGCTATGTTTGGGACAAAGCCCTTCTGCCTGAGGGTGTGAATCTCCAGTTTCACAGTAGGCCTGACTGCTTTGTTATTTTGCTTTGGTCTGTTTTCATTTGGTATCTTAGACCAAATAAAAATGAAAGCCGTCATAACCACGAATTACATAACTCCTTAGAGTTTTCATAATAGCTTTACATAGATCTCTTCATTTGATCCTTAAAACACCCTGTGGAGTAGGTTATCAGTATTGCAGTCATAGAAGAGATTGAAAATGACAACAGCACATTATTTGTTTTTGTTGAGAAATACCTGGTGACACCACTGGATTAGGTTACGGAGTTCTCTTTTTTATGGAACCATCATTTGGTGGGAGCCATCCTGTGACCCTTGTGGATACTTTTTGTCTTTCCACTTTCTTCTGGAATGTTAGCTTCTTGGGTTGGATCAGGGAGGGTGGAGTGGATGGGCCTGGGAATGGAGATAGAGTTGGATTCTTTGGGGAGACTGTCAGGAACTTGCCCCTGCAGCCTTAAATGCAGGGCGGGTAGTTTTCAAGTCCACAAACTTCTGTTTTAAGAACCAATTTGAAATGAACTTTGGTGGTTTATTGCCTGAATATGATGAGCTTAGATTATTTACAGGATCTACTCTAAAATGGTTTACTACACGGAAAAGTTGTGGAGCAGGTGTCACTTGAAGATATGACCTTAGTTTTCAGGAATCCATTTTGGCTTCAGAAGAACTATTGACTTAATAGCTCAACAAATATCTTTTGAGTTATGTTTATTTATTTATTTATTTTCAGTAAGTTATTTTAACGTGTGAGATTTTCCTTTGATTCTTTTAAATCTTCCTACATACTTTTTTTTAAACAGCAACTTTTTTTAAATGAAATGGTACATCGGGTTGATTTATGAAACAGACCAAAGTATTATTTTTCATATAAATTTGCTTTAGAAATTTGAATTAATAGCATTTACTTCGAAAGTCAGTCAGTGACAACAGTGAGGCTGTTTTGATTACGAAAAACTTGAAATGGATTGAAAAAAATTAGTCTCTAGGGGCAACGGAAAGGATTATGGGAAAGAGAGGAGGAGAGAGGATTGATGGGAAGAAGCAAATTAAGAAATAAGAACTGATGTTGGCTCTTGATTATCTTTGGGTAGGTTAATACCAGTGAGGATTCAGAAATGGTCTGGGAATGCTCACTTTTTGCAGATGGGTTGTGTGAAGGATTGTTGACTCATTGCATCCGATGTTCGTTCCCTGCTTCAGTGAGAGAAGAGGAAGTGGTTTGGGGCTCCATATGAAAGAAGGAGAGCAAGGCTTCTCTCTTCTCATTCTCCTTTAGAGCTGTTCTGCTAAGAGTTTGGCTCTCTCTGGGTCTGTGATTGGACTGGCTGTCTAATTTTGACAGCTTGGTTCTTAACTGCTCAGCTTGGTTCTTAACTGTACCTTATATTCAAAAAATATCAAGAATCCATGCAGCCCTTTGACTACAATGGCTCTGAATCAAGTATGGCTAATTATGGGGCAAATGTATTGTTGGTGGATGGTCTGTAGGGAACCCTACTCTTTCTCCTTAATGTTTTCACCTTGCCTATTTAGCCAGGGCCAGGGGCTGCTAATTTGCTTTCATTATGTTTCCAGAATGAAATCGTGAATTATTTGCTTCCTTTTTCTTAGCATAAATAATTGAAAATCGATTTCACAGTAGCATGAATTTATAGAGTATACTAAAACTTTGAGTTTCGAGCCAGTTGGGAAATTCCCTTCAGTTTTTCTGGCTTATACCACGTATTTGAAGAATGTTTTGAGGAAGTGAATTACAATTGCTGTTGAATGTGACCTGGAAGGAACTGAGAAACAGTAGAACTAAAGATATAGTTTATTGATTTTTTTTCCCCCCCAAATTCCTTTGTTAGGCATCTGAAGAAGCCTCCCTCAGGGCATTGGAAAGTCTGATGACAGAGTTTTTTCATGACTGTACAACCAATGAAAGAAAACGTGAGATAGGTAAGTGAAGTGTTGAGTTGTAAAGAGTCATTTATAATGGAAAGGCCCCAGTGGGGAGGAAGGAGTTGGTAGCTTTGACTGGTCAAGCCTGCATGTTTCTCCTTGAATTCTTGTCTTTTTGTTCTGGTTCTGCTGGTTGGTGGCTGGTGAGGGCTGCAAATCTAGCTGCCAGGGAGCCCACCGTAGTCCATAGTGATGGATTTTCTTTCCTTTGGTGAAGTGTGGGAAAGCTCTCCCCGCTTCTCCTTAATTTCAGCAGTGTTGAACTTTCTAAGAAGTCTGTGACTGTTAGTTTAAGAAAACTCATAAAAATGTCAAAATGAACATGTTTTTCGTGTATAAATGTTTAAGCTGCACCTCATCTACTGCCCAGAGAGCCTTTAATCAATATTATTACCTTTGGGGGCTTCTTGCTGCTTTTTCCTTATCTCCACTGTTACCTCGCCCATTCTGCAAGCTTTGGTGAATAAAGACTTCAAACAACAGAGAGGTATAGGTATAATTACTTCAAGTCTTTCGGAAACCTCAGCACCTCCTAGAACCTCTTTGAATTTTATTTTCATGGACATGAATAATATTCGTTAAAGTGTACTGTAAACTAGAAAGTATATTCAGGTGTCAGATCTCTGCCTCAGGGACATGTTGCACTGTGGTCCTAGAATAATCCTTTTCTCTCTGAGTCCTCATTTAACCCCTGAACTTGAAAAAGAAAAATATTTTTCTTAATTCAAACCTGAAGGCTTTCCCTTGGATGTCTGTACTGACCTTACATTCATTGCTTTCACCTCCTTGGAGGCCTTTTTCTATGTGGAACTCATTTCTCTGTCCCACTTGGCCTCTCTAACACGTTGATCTAGTTAAGTGTTATGGCTGATTTCTGCCTTTGGTCCAAAGCTTGATTGGGGTTTGGATTTCCAGGTGGCCAGTAGACCTTGGCTATAGCCCATTTTTCTCTTGGATACTGTGAACATCATATCAGTTCCTGGTAGATGCTAACTTCTTATCTCTCTTAATTTTAAACTTGGTGTCTCTTTTGGGCTTGCCCTGTACATACCTTTCTTTTCTGAGGGAGTGCCCAGAGCATTTCTAAACAGCATACTGACAGAAGCTGAGCCCAGTGGATAAACTGTCATTTGGCTTAGAGCAGTGGTCCCCCACCTTTTTGGCACCAGGGACTGGTGCTTCTATGGGAATCTAATGCCTGATGATCTGAGGCAGAGTTGAGGTGCACCCATGCTAGTGCTGGGGAGCAGCTACAAATACAGATGAAGCTTTGCTTGCTTGCCCGACTCTGCACTTAGTGCTGTGTGACTGGTTCCTAACAGGCCATGGACTGGTACAAGTCCATGGCCCAGGGGTTGGGGACCGCTGGCTTAGAAGATCTGCTCCCCTTGCTTCCCTAGATCTTCTCTTATTACTCAGTTGGCCAGACCCTTCTCCTGCCCCTAGAGTGATCCCCCTGTTAGTTTTATGTTACCAAAGTACCTTACAGTAAATATATCACTGGTGATTTTTACCAAAGAAGGTGAAGGATCTTTCCCTTACCTCAGTCTGTTTTAAGCTTTGTTTTTAGCTTATATGTAAAATGCTTTTGGTTTTTCTCTTAGTTTTTGATTTGCCAGGCAAATATTGCTCACTTTCCGTGTTCATGAATTAAAAGTAGAACCTTCTGAATGTGTTTGTATTCTAATCTGATTTAAAAATGTCTTTAAATAACCAGATATTACAAATGTCTGATTTAAGTTCAGGCTAAGGAGAATCCGGGGGTTTGGTTCTATAGAGTGGGTGTGTCTTAGTTCAGGTCTCTTTGTACCTAATCCTCATAGCTTTATTCGAGTATGTGGGCTGGAACTATTTCTTGCTTCTTTTTTGATGTTGTAAGATAAACTAAAGGCATTCCTAGCTAAGTGGGAGAAAGGAGAGAGGCCTTTTATTATTATAGGGGCTCCACCCACTCTCTACCAAAGGTGTGTTGTAAGTGTTCTAGAGATAGAGCTGTTAGCGGGGAACCTTAAGAGAAAATCTGGTCATTTTAACAGTGGAGGAAACCGAAGCATCAAAGAGGAGCAGTGGTTCACTTGGGATCAGACTCAGTGAATTAGTGGCCAAGTCTAGTATAGAGCCGAAGTTCCTCATTTCCAGCCAGAGCTCATTCTCTCTGGTGTGACTTCATCTCTGGGGTAGAAACTTCTCCTTAATTATAAGAGCAGGCCATCAGTTTCCTTTCGTGGAATTTTTAATGAGACCGTCTGGCGCATTTAGCTTAGGTTACAGGGCCTACCAAAGCAGTGACTTTAGGATTAGAATGGGTTTCTGTGCTTCCTGCTTTTGCATGGGCTTCCTAGAGTCTCTCAAGGTGGTTGTCTTTGTATTTTTACCCTTTTTCTGTTAACATTTCATGACCAGTGCAGCAGGTTAAGGTGACTAAGGGGCAGCGTGTCCAGAAACATGGTGACAGACTCTTAACGCTTGCTGTCTGTTCTGGCTGATGCTACCAGAAGCCTAAGGGGCAGGAAAACCGTTTCTAATTGATTTGGTGTGGACAGGGCTGCTCCTAGCAACTCCTGTGATTGCTATTCTTATTTACTTTTTTTGGATGGTAGTTAAAAATAAAACCAATCCAAACGAAGAGAATTAGTTATCTTGAGTTCTCTTGCATTTTTTTCTGTCCTTTATTTATAAGGTTAGTTTTAATTTTTTCCTAATTCTCAAGCTGTGTGTGTGTACGTGTGTGTGTGAACAGTGTGAGTAAGGAGGATATACTGTAGCTCCTATCCCAAAGGAAACGAGTTAACAATTAGCTGTCATTTATAAGGTGAAATGATACTCTTACAATTGTCTATCCACAAGGTAGGTTAAGTAAGAACTTTAACAGTGAGTTTCTCTGCCTAAAAATGTGTCTGTAGCAAGCTTACTGGCTTTTAGATAGCTGAACACCGTCAATGTTCCTGGCCACCCAGAATTGGGAAAATATTGTGTGGGCTGTCCTTTCTATGTTGAAGAATTAGCTGGATTTTGTGAGTTGATTTTGACATCATTTACATATATGAAGAAAGGCTTTTAAAAAAATAATAAGACAGCCCAGCTTTGAATTAATTTCATGTATTTTTATAGCCTTCTTTTGTTGCTATTTAACTTTTCCAGAGGAGCTTCTTAATAACTTTGCCCAGCAAATAGGAGCCTGGAGATTCTGCCTGTATTTTCTTTCCAGCACTAGGAATGACTATGTGATGATGTACAGTTTGACGGTTTTTGAGGTAAGTTGTCACATAATTTTATAGTAAGTTGTCACATAATTTTATACTGTTCTGAAAAGTATTTTATTGTCACGTTGCCATGTCATTGGCACTAGGCTTTAGCTTTGATGTACAGATGCCTGAGAAACAGTGGTAACTCAGCTCAGGGGCTTCTCCACGTTCTGTCTTTATCAGGATATCTGGCATTCTGGGGTACCTCTCCATCTTTCTCAGAAAGGTAAGGTTGGGTTAGGTAGGCTGGTCATTTGTGGTAACATATAACTTTTTCTTCCTTGTTATCATTTAAAAAAGAAAGATAAAGAAAAACAGTTTGGCAGGAGGGATAATACCCATAATATTATTATCCCAACCCCCAAATTTTCCTTTTTTAAAAATCTAATTATAGCAATCATATGGCTCAAGTCATTTTGTATTCTGCATTTTTCTCCAACTTACCTTTATACTGCATTCCCGTTTAAGTGGTTGTATCATTATTCACCATTCTATTTTCCTATTTTTATTTCTGTCATTATTTTCTGGTGAATTAGAGACAGTGGTATAATAGAAAGTTTTTACATATACAGCTTTTTGTTTCCATTAAATTTAGCAGATCTTCCTAGGATTGTTGTTTCAAGATTTGAATATACTTTTTTTTTTCACTCTTATTGCCAAATTGCCTCAAACCTTTGTTTAAAATTAGGGTTTCTTGTTTGAAGTGATATAGTCAACCATTGGTTGAAAACCAGTAAATTTTGTGTATTGATCGCTAACTTAAAAGATGTGTATTTGTTTTTCAGAATCTGATCAATAAAATGTGGCTTGGGGTCCCATCTCAGGATAAGATGGAAATCCGTAGCTGCCTACCCAAACTCCTTTTGGCTCACCACAAAACCTTACCTTACTTTATCCGGAACAAGCTCTGCAAAGTTATTGTTGATATTGGCCGTCAAGATTGGCCTATGTTCTACCATGACTTTTTTACTAACATTTTACAGGTAAGGATATAGCTAAGGAAACTTTATCCTGTAAATTGTTTGTGGAAGTGATTATTTCTTTGTCTTGAAGAAGAGTTTTAAGATTCGCATTTTGGAACTGCAGTAGCGAGGTCATTCATTGTAGGATAGATTCATGTAACTTTATATTCTTGAGACATGTTGTACCTTTGTGCGGTGGAGAAAGGGCTGGGGAAATCCATTTGCTTTGTTAACCTCTTGTGAAATTTTGTTCAGCAAATATTTGAAAGCCTGTTAGATACTGTGCCAAGTATTGGAGTACAAGGATGAGGCCTTCATAATGTAGTGGCAAGATAGCTATACAAACAGTGATTATCCAATAATATGACAATTACTGTAATAAAGTGTATGCAGAGTGCAGTGGTGGTGTAGCGTTTAGACTCAGGAGCCGAGGTATTTTCCGTGTTGTTGGTAATGAGATGAGAGGTGGTAGGGTGGTAGAGTAAGAAGCTAGATTGACCGGCAGGGGCCAGACCAGGGAGGGCCTGATCTTCACAGGGGGGCTTTGATGTTTAAGTCATACCTTCCTTGCAAGCTAATGAAAAGTTTGGAGAAGGGAGAAAACGGCACCTTTTTAATGATGGAATGACAGCTTTAGCAGTTGTGTGGAGTCTGGATTGCGGAGGGGCAAAGCTGATGCGAAGGAGGCCAGTAAGGCTGCTGTTGGCAAAATCTAAGTGAGATGAGGTGACCTAAGCTATGCAGAGCTCCTGCTTGGTGGAGAGAGGCAAGGTACTTAGGAGACAGTCAAGAGGCAATGACTAGGTGGTAGGGGTGAGAGGAAGGGGGATTCTAGAATGCTTTCTGGATTTCAGGCATAGGTAGCAGATTTTCCAGGCCAGGAATGAAGAAAGGATTAAATTTCAGTAGAAAGTGGTGAATTCAGTTTGGCAGAAAATGCATTTAAGATTTGTATGTTTCTTCCATGTATATCTAGTGAGACATTGGGAATTGTGAGATCTGACTATATATAGGTCAGGATTTGGAAGTCATTGTGCAATAGGTGTAACCTGAAAGCCACGAGGGAGATGCTGTTCATTCGATTCATATTTTAGAGCTAGAAACGTTGTCATGTTATTGAGACAGTCTCGAGTATGCCGGAAATGGGTATTACCCTTCAGTTTATAGAAAAAAAAAGTTGTTTATAATCTCACTGACTGTAGGTTCAGGATTTTACAGAACAATACCATTTTCTAACAGTCTGTCTGCTCTTCCTACAAATCATTTGAATGATGCAGCAATTAAAAAAAACTCAACATCAGTATTGCTTCTCTCAGATTGCCTTTCAAAGTGGCCAACAAATTCTTCATTCAATTTTGTGTTATTTGTTCATTTATCTAGAGTTTTATTGAATTGGTACTGTAAACGAAATTCATGCATTTGTTCAGTAAACTATTTGTTGAATACCAGCCATGTGCTAAGCATGTAAGGATGTAGTAATGAACAAATACAGTGTCCTGTCTTCATGGAAGTTGTAATTCTCGGGGGTGTGGTGGGGATCAGTAGACAATGAGCAGATAAATACTTGCAGGTTATTAAAGTATTATGATGAAAACTAAACTCAGGGTAAGGAGAAAGGGAATATCAGGAGTGTTATTTAGACGGGATGATTGTGGAAGGCTTTTCTGAGAAGTAGACATTTGAGCAGAAACCTGAGTGGAAGTGATGGAGTGATCCATATGGGTATCCTGGGGAACAGTGTTTTAGGCAGAGGGAATATAGAAAGTGCAGAGAACCTGAGGAGACCAGGGAGCCTGGAGTGGTAGGATACGAGGTGAGAGGCTTTGCTGGTTCTGTTTCACTTACCTTCACTCCAAGCTGAGGACAGTTGTGGTAACTCTCCATGGCTCTCTTAGGTGGGAGCTGGGAAGTCCACTGGGGATGGAAAGACCAAGAAGGTTGGAGGTCTAACTGGGTTCATCCCTGGGAGGGTTAGCGGCATGTCCCGTGAGAAGGAGCCATGGAGTGTGAGCCAGTAGGAAGTGAGGAAGAGCCATGTTTTCATCCAGCTCCTTTGTTGAAGAACAGATATTTCTTGTCTACCCTTGAAGTATAATTACAGATGATAAATGAGAATTTGGAAGAGCATTTTTAGGTGAAGTGCTCATGGAGATTTAAAAAGGCTAGTTGTCTTCTGCTGTCCTCTACCACTTCCCTCTTTCTACACCTTCAGAAATGACTTTTTAACCTCATGCAGCCTTCGTGACCTTGAAACACCCCATAGTGGGAGGAGCATTGAGTTGGGAGGCAGCGGATTTGGGGTCTGCATCCATTCTTGTCAGATCATATTTGGTTTCAGTAGGCCCTGCTGCTATGTGGGCCTGTATTTCCTTCTTTGTTAAATGAGAGGATTGGACCTGGTGATCTTTAAAATCCTTTCCTTCCGATTGTATTATTTTCTGCTGCTTATTTGTTCATGAGAACCAGTGAGTGGCATGAAAGCCATCTCGAGAATGAATGGTGTTCAGTTGCTGACAATTCAGATAATGATAAAGTGAACCTTTTCTTCAGATATTGGTAAAATAGACCAAACTGGTTCTGGAATCAACTTCACCATTATACAATCCTTTGATTAAACCTTGTCTAAAAGGTTTTTTTGAGTTTAGTTTCATTCTGGTCTGCTTGCAGTCTGGGATGCATAGTTAAAAAATTTAACTCTGTGACAGTTGGCTGGGGGCATCTATGCAGTTTATGCTACAATTGTGGGAACTACCATACCTGGCAGAGAGGAGTTGATTCAGGGCCCCAGAAGGATATTTGCAGAAGTAGTTGAAGTCAAAACTGACCACTGTTCTGTCTCCTTCCTCCTCCCATGTACTGGCACACATACCACCTTTCTAGAGTCTATTCTTCAGATTCCTGAAATCTACTGAGCTGGACCTTTGGTCACAATGCACCTGAGGCCAGATAATTAAGGGGCAAGCAGCATAAGAAAAAATTGCCTTTTCTCCTGTGATTGGTAGTAAAAATTGTTGTACCTTTTCAGAACCTCACACTAAGAACCTGAACTTGATTTTCAACCTAAAAGTGCTATTCTCTCTGTTAAAATAAATTACAGAGATTACCTGTGTTATGAACTTAAATTATATATGTGAAGATGGTAAAAGGAAACACTATTATAATAAAAAACATTCTGGACATAAAGCTAGTGAGAAGTAAAATTATACATCTTATCAGTCTGTTCTTTCAAAAAGAGAATAACTTTCATTTTCAGCCTGTTTCTTGCCTGTCTCCCCTTCTCTCAAAGGATGAAAGAAAGGAGGGCTTTAAGATACATTTTCTATATTGTAGGAATTTATTTCTGGGGAGCACAGAAGCATTTCATATCTACAGGAAAATGTATTGCCAAATGGAATATTTGGTAGTATGGGTCATTCTGGCCGAGAGAGTAAGGTTGAGGGCTTGGGGGAAAATGGAGACATGATAGGTGGAGACGGAAAGAAGTGAAAGGAAGGAAGTAATGGAAATCTTATAAGGCAGGGGTCCCCAGCCCCTGGGCCATGGACTGGTACTGGTACTGGTCTGTAGCCTGTTAGGAACTGGGCAGCACAGCATGAGTCGAGTGGCGAGCGAGCGAAGCTTCATCTGTATTTTCAGCCGCTCCCTAGCGCTAGCATCACCTCCTCAACTCCACCTCAGATTATCGGGCATTAGATTCTCATACGAGCACCAGTCCCTGGTGCCAAAAAGGTTGGAGACCTCTGTTATAAAGTACAGATGGATAACCCAGAGGTTTCCAAATGGAAAGAGGTGCTTATGAAAGGTCAGTTCTGCTTTATTATGGAAAGAAAATTTGTTAGATGACAGCTTCCTGTTCTTCTCCTACTGCATCATCTGAATTTAAGTTGGTGTTAGAAATAGTCCAAACTTGTAGAAAATGAAGAGAATACTTGTAGATGATGTACTTGAAATTTTAGTGTTCAAGAGAACTGATTTAATAGAGAGCATTTTTTTTTAAATGGAAGTAATGGTGGTTAATAACATCATATAAATTTCAGGCGGACAGCATTATAACTCAATGTCTGTATACTCAGTATCACCACCAAAAGTATAGTTTCCTTCTGTTACCCACAGAAAGCATTTGTAACACGCCGTTAGTTGCTGCTGATTTTACATAATGCTGCTTCTGAGGGCAGTTGAATTTATCATAAGTTCTCATTATTGAGTACTTTTCCTACTCTTTGGGGATGAACTTTTCCTTCGTCTCCAGTGGGAAGAGTTGTGTTCAAGGGAAAGGAAAAGGCCCCGTGTTTCTTGAATTGGAAAATATATGTTCTGTCTGGGTGTAGTTCTTGGTGTCCTCTTCTTCCCTAAGGCTTTCATTTTGTAGATTGAGTAAATAAATTTTTTTTTTTTTTTTGCTTACAATCCTTTATTTTATAAAATTTTTTTTACACCTACAGCACCTGGTCTTCCTAAGTGGTCTCCCATCCAAGTACTAACAAGGCCCAACCCTGAGAGTAAATAAAAATTTTATTTGTATCAGAGAAGGAACTACATTTAAAGTTAATTATGATTTAAGAAAATGGTCACGTGTTCCTTAAATTGTTTGCTTTCTTATAGATTGTTGCATATAACTCAACAGAGAATTTTAGTGGCACCTTGTTTACTTTTACCGTTTCTGGAAACTGAAAAATAAATGCAGTAGTAGTGCTTTGAATTTTTGTGAAATTGATTAGAAAGATAAATACTGTTATGCTGTCGATGGTGAACCTTTTTTTCCTGTCTTTTTGTTTAAGGAAACTTATGGTATAGTGGATGTTGCAGATGCAAGAGAAAGTAACTTAATTTGCTGCATGGGTATTTGCAAAATCATAACCATAGTTATAGTTTAATGATGTGTATGCCCATTTCTGCCCTGCCACATGTTTAAACTTGAACTTGGCGTGAAACATGCAAAGCTTAGAAATATGAAGTCAATTTAAGATCTGAATGTTGAAAAGATATCACAAATTGGTTTACACATATTTTAATCACTAATATGTTTATCTGGGCAAAATAACCAAGGCCCTGTTGGGAATCTGGACATGTATAAAAATTGTGATATTGATGTAAAAGAGCATTGTTTTTTATTTTAAGCTCATGGTATTAGCGTTTCATTTTTAAAATAAAATGAGAATATATTTTGAATGATTAAGAGGTACATAAATGTACTCTTAAGTCATTTTTCTAAAGCATTGATTTATGTGAAATTAAACACACAGGTACTTCACAGGTGTGATGTTACTCTGTCCTCTTTATACCTTAATGGCTAAAATAGTCTACTCAGAACTTACATTTTCCTGGCAGTTGATCCAGTCCCCTGTGACAACCCCCCTGGGGCTGATCATGTTGAAGACAACTTCAGAAGAGCTGGCTTGTCCCCGCGAAGACCTCAGTGTGGCTCGGAAGGAGGAGTTGCGGAAACTGCTGCTGGACCAGGTGCAGACGGTGCTTGGGCTGCTGACAGGTAGGTTAGCACTTCGGTGGTGCGCCAAGAGACAGGGGCCTGCCCGCGTCACCCAGAGCTCAGGCCTGGTGCTCAGAATTTCCTATTAGGTGTTTTAGCTCTTACCGACCTGAGCATAAAAACAAAGAATGTGCTGCCTTATTCCCAGCACCTAGCTCAGTGTCTAGCACATTAGGTAGAAACTCAAAAAATATTTGTAACTTATTTTCCTTATAGTCTTCCATTAATTGGTCCCCACTATTACCGTGATTAATGAGGTGTGGACTAGGTCATAGGAATATGATTGAAATGCTGATAACTGCATTCTAAGTAAGGTAGGTGGCAAACTTTACTTAAAATAATTTGAATTTAAGATCAGGAGAAGTTGGAGGAGAAGGAAGATGTGAAAATTTCAAGTCGTGTGTCGGGAAGTGAGGCAAGGTGTGGAATCAGTGCCCTGTGTGCTAGGTTGTAGTTGTAGGTTGCATTCTTTATCATCTTCTCTGTTTTATTAGCACCCCATGCCAATGTGTGAAGAGTAAGACTAGATAGAAGGAATGAGACAGGAAGGTAGGAGGAGTGGAGTGCCCTGAGTCATGAGGACCATGACTACTGTGCTGCCAGTGGGCCTGCTCCTTAGGAGAGGTGGTGCCTGGCTGAGAGGCCTGGAGGCACCAGGAGCCTGGGCTTGCTTGAAGGAGTGTTGTAGTGAAAAGAAGTCCTTATCTACCCAGGTTTCTTTCTGCATGTCTAGGAACTTTTTCTTTTGTATGCCTCATGGAAGTGCTTGGCATGTAGTGGGCACTTAAAGTTGGTTGTAAGAATGCTTAATCAAAAGTAATCTTATTTGTTTCCTGTCCTTCCTTAAATGTCTAGGGGGAAACCCAGCTCTCAGAGCATTTATTTATTCAGAGCGCTGTTGACACCCCCAACTAGGTGTTAAATGTCTAGAGTTAGGGACCATGTCTGATACTTCTAAGTTCTACTGTATGAACATTAAAATTTTTTAAACTGAGATTTAATTCACTTATAAAATACACCATTTTAAAGTGTAACAACTTAGTGGATTTTAATATAATCACAAGATTGTGCAACTATCACACTAATTCTAGAATATTTTCAGTGCCCTCCAACCACTGGCAGCTTCTAATCTACTCTCTGTCTCTATGGATTTCCCTATTTTGACTTTCATAAAAATGGAATCATATAATATGTGACCTTTGGTTTATGGCTTTTTTTACTTAGCATGATACATTCAGGGTTTGTTTTTGCTGTAATAGTAAATATTTTGACAACAAAATATTTTCAAAAGCTTTATGATCTTAAGTGCCAGGTTCTGTGAAGAGACAAAAAGAGGAATAAAACACTGCCCCTGCTCTCTAGTAATGTGTATGCTTGTGGAGAGGAAAGGCAACTTAAGAAAGTGTGTTGTTATGTGCAGGTAAAGTGTAACAGGCAAGAAAACTTCCTGGAGGAGGCGACAGCTGAGCTGAGTTGAGTTCTGAGGGCCAGACAGGTAGCGTTAGTCTGGTGTCAAGGTCAAGTTTAGATTCCGGGGAAGGAGAGCAGGTCAGAGGTAGAGAAAGAGTAGAACACATGTGGAAGGACCGGCAAACAGTTTAGCATGATGTGGTCTTTTGTGTGGGGTAGGGGCGAGGCAAGGTGGGGAGAGCAGAGGCCAGATGCTGAGATTGTGTGTAATGGTGCTGGTTATGGTGAGCGAATGTAAGGAGACTGGTGACAGGTTCGTGGGGAAGATAAATTGTAAGAGGTTCGTGGGGAAGACAAATTGAGTTTAAAATATCTAAGTAGTGCTGTCCAAGAAGCAGTTGAACATGTAACTGAGAGAGGGATATTTGGAGACTGATGTTTGATCAAAGATAATCAATAAATTGTTTTTCTAAATCTGATTTACATATGTTGGACTTTATTTCTCTCTTAAACTCAGTTTTTCCTTTCTTGGTGTAGGTATCTTGGAGACTGTCTGGGATAAACACAGCGTTACTGCTGCCACCCCACCACCATCCCCGACCTCAGGAGAAAGTGGTAATGGTTTGCCCACCACACGTGGTGTTCCTTTTTTAAGTGAAATCGAGAGTCTTAGTGGGACAGCAGTTGCTTATTTATGCCAAATACAGATGCTGATTCTTCCTTAATCTGTTTTTGGCCTTTTTGCCCATGTTTTCTGAGTAGCTAGCTTTCTTAGTTTCTTGTAAGTACTTGTACTTTCTAATGTAATATTTTGAACAACATAATTTGTTTCTTCCTTGCCTGTCAGGAAGGTGGCACCTTTGATCTTCTGGCATCCACTTCCATCCCCTTCAGCTTATAACTGCTGACCCTCCTGGTCTGTTTTTTCCTTTTTCTCAATCTTCATGGCTGTATTTCTCGTGCTGAGGTTCGTATGAGCCTGTGGGCTTGTCAGGTCTGCTTTGCAGTTCTGCAGGGGTTGCTATTGCAGGAGGAGGGTGGCAGACTGAAGGAGGGAACAGGGGAACGTGGAGTGCATTCTTCCCCACTGGGCTCAGGGAAAAGTCATGTTGGTCCGGATAGATTAAAACTCCAGTGTGCAGTAATCAGCTTTGACTTTACCTTAGTTCAGAATAATTTGATAAAGCTAATGCATGGGCGTATTTGCAGTGCTCATTAAGTAATTTACTGGTGGCTTAGTTACTGTCCACAGATATATTAATATCTGTTTCAGAAGTTAGAGTGCAGTTCACCTAAAAATGGCTGCTTTCAAGGATGAATGGAAAGAGGAAATTGTGTCTGAACAGGAACTTTTAGTTTCTAAATGTGTTTGTTTATACTAAATGATCATACATGCTTTTCAAGTAGAGTACATCCTATGAATTGGCACATATTTCTTTTACTGTAAAGGTTGGTGTGGTTAATGAGAAATGTTTCCACATCTTTCTTCTTTGCCCCAAGGAAATGGGCTGTTGAAATCAGACATCTCTAAGCCCAAGCTGTTTCATGTAGCCTATTGTTAATATGTGGAAGTTGAAATTCTTGCAGTTACTAGAGAATTGAAAATATACCATAGAGTTTTGGGAACTGCTCATAGTATATTAATTATTCTAAATTCCATTTATCAAACTTGGATTAAAACTATTAGAGTCGTTTGTCATACTTCTTAGATTAAAAACTATAATGGAGGTCTAGAGTATATTACAAGCCCACAGGAAATTGAACTTTATTTGTACTTCGTGGCAAACCTTCATTTTCAAGGTGGCTATTTGAGGTCACTTAGCAATTTCTATTCTGCAATATTTGATTAAAGAAAAAATTACAAATGATGTAGAAATTTGATTTTATGAGTCTATCCCTTGGAAGTTCTTGCAGGTTGGCTGATCCTAAATGTGTCCTTTCATTTAAATACTAGTTTGCAAACATTAGTTCTTTTAAATTAAATTGGCTTTTAGATAGTTGAATCCTAGCTTAGTTTAGCATCCAGTCTAAGTTAGCAGCAGCAGTGTCCTCCAGTGAAACTTGTTTTTCTGAGATGATTTTCCACTACCAGAAGCTGTTTTTTAGTTGGCTTTGTTCAGGTTTATACTTTAGTAGATAACTCATAGATCAGTTTATACTTTAGTATAACTCAGTTTATACTTTAGTAGACTTATTTTTCTGGAGACTAGGTTGGGGAATATCAAATAACACAGATCAAAAATATATGCTTACTCTTTAATGTGTTGCCTAGGTTTTGTTTATGAGGTTAGGTAAAATAAAATATGAACTAATTTGATATTTCCACATAAACAAAACCTAAAAATATGACACATACTTCTTGAGAATTGCCTCTTAGACACAAATAAAAATTTTCAAAGTCTTAAATTTTAGTATTTGAGAAAAAGCAAAATAAATAGAGACTGTTAGGGGCATAGGGAGTTAAGTAAGCTTTTTATGCTTCCCCTTTAAAAAAATAGAATTGCATGTTCACTTGTTACGCCTTTTTTCTCTTCGTGACAGTTACAAGTGAGGTCATCAGATCTTGCTTCATTATTTGGACAGTGCTGATGATTTAATCAACATTTGTTTTGATGTTTTTGCTTAACTGCCTTGTGCATTTAAAACCAAATTAAGCAGTTAAACTTCTAGAAAATTGTTTTTGCTTAACTGCCTTGTGCATTTAAAACCAAGTTAAGGTTAAGTAAGCTTTTTATGCTTCCCCTTTAAAAAAATAGAATTGCATGTTCACTTGTTACGCCTTTTTTCTCTTCGTGACAGTTACAAGTGAGGTCATCAGATCTTGCTTCATTATTTGGACAGTGCTGATGATTTAATCAACATTTGTTTTGATGTTTTTGCTTAACTGCCTTGTGCATTTAAAACCAAGTTAAGCAGTTAAACTTCTAGAAAATTGTTTTTGCTTAACTGCCTTGTGCATTTAAAACCAAGTTAAGCAGTTAAACTTCTAGAAAATTGTTTAGCTTTCTTGACCATAAGCTTAGTTTTATGGAGGAAATTCATTCTGAGAAATCTTAGGGCACCAGTGGATAACCAAATCATTCCTAAACACCCTGTCAGCAGTCCCTGCCGGACTTTCCCTGCCCGAATCCTGGGCAGCTCCCTGTCAGGCTTAGCCCCGTGAGCCTTTGGTCTCTGTTCTCATACACTGTCTCACAAAGTTGTGTTCTGTCCAATCACTTTCCTGCAACAACTTCTCTAACAGTCAGTGTGGAAAAAGTCTCGAAGGGTGTATGTGGTTTATTGTTCTACAGCATTGTTCCCCAGATTGTTGTCTTATCTCCTAAACGCCCCTCACTAGACCAGAATCCTGTAAAGTAGATGATGGTTTTATGTCTTGTTTACAAACCAGGAAGCTGGGGCTCATGGTGGGTAACTTGCCAGAGATCACATCACCAATGATTGGTGGAAGAGGGCTGTCAACCCATCATCCCTAGTCTAGGTGTACTGTCTTTGTCCTAAGTTTGCGTTCTTGGTCACTCTCACCACTTCTGTTGGCCTCCTCCTCCCCTTGGTTTGGAGCCCTTGCTCTGCCACTTACTCTGTATGCCTTCTCTCACATTGATGTCTTCAGCTGCGAAAAGGAGAGTAACTGTCCTTGGAGGATGAAATGAGGGAAGATGTGGGTGTGTCCTCTGCATGCTGTGCCCGTTGCTTCCTGCTGCACGTGGGCAGCCTCAGCCCTTTTAGTCTCTTGTCTTCTTTTTGCTTAGGCAAATGGAAAAAAAAAGCGAACAAAGTGCATTTATATAGATACTGAGATTCCGAATTAGCTTCGATTGTTCTGAAATAAAAATTTCTTGTCCACATGGTATGTAGTTTCAAATATAGATCTGTACACACACTAGCAATGGAAAGTTTTTCTGGTTGCAGAGAGCTTGAATTCATTGAGACTAATTTATACCTTCCTGTTTCTTCCCAAACTCTTTCCAAATTGCGTATCTTTGTGTACTTGCAAATCTTCACGTGTATTCCTTTATAAGCTACTTATAGAAAGATGGGACTTGGGAGAGCCACTCCCAACAACTGTAATCTCATTTTCTCCTAAGGGCTTCTTGAATAGAGTTTTTCCCCATTTTACTGGACTGAGGCTACGTTTAGGTCAGTGCTTCTCAATTGGGCCAGCTTGGCCCTGCAGGGACTATCTGACAGTGTGGAGGGGTTTTTTTGCTACCGTAACTGGAGGAGTGAGTACTGCTGACGTCTGGTGAGTGGAGGTTCGGGATGCTGCTAAATATCCTACAATGTACAAAACAAAGAATCTCCTAGCCCAAAATGTCAGTGGTGCTGAGGTTGGGAAACTCTGAGTTAGTAAATGTTGAACTGAATGGAAAACATAAGATTTCAATAATTAAAAAAATACAAGGCCAAGGGGGTCTTTGCATGAAAGCCTAGTGTAGGTGTTCCAGCTACATCCGGGTTGCTTCCAACTTAGGAAATGCACTGGAGTCGTCCCTACACCTTTGGGGGCATGGTACGTGTTGCTGTCAGGGCCAGGCCCATTCAGGGCGGATGAAGTCGCCCTCAGGTTTTATACTCAAGGTGCCCCCTTATACAGCCAGCGTGTTAAGGTCTTTCAAATTCACATTGGAAATGTCGCAGCACGAAGCAGAGTCCCTGTTCTGTGGTGATTTCTTCTACTTTGATTAAAATACAGTTTGAAAAACTCTTCTAGGATCTAAAAAATCTCGAAACATTGAGTATAATCACTTTTATGAGAAACAATGTTAAAAGATTGTTGTTTTGAGGGAAAAATGTCGCAGGTCTTCCTATTTACCTAAATAACTTTTACCTTTGCATAATTCTGTTTAGTTTTTGTCCTTTTATCTTTCTATAGTTGTGGTCATAGTGTAAACATGCTATTTTATATGAGACTTTAGATCATACATCTTTTTCTATATTTGAATATTATCTTTCTTACTAATGATTTTTCCTGGTTACATAATCTTTCCAGGTGACCTGCCTTTCGGGGAGGAGCATGGGCTTTGGGGTTTCAGTTTTAGCTCTACCTCTTACTAGCTGTGGAACATGGGAGAAATGCCTAATTTGTCTATGTTGTAGTTATTCTAACAACCTGGAAATGTGGATAATAATACCTACCTCAGAGCTGTGAGCATTAAATGAAAATATGTAAATAAAGTGCCTAGTGCAGCACTAAGCAAATAATAATAGCACATCAGATGTTCTGAACATCATTATTGTTTTTGATGTTTTCATTCAGCATTCCCATTCTGGAAAAATTCTGAGCTAAAGCGTGGGACTTTTTTGTGTGTATTTATTTTTTTTAAAGCCAGAATTGATTTCTATTTAAAAATGTTCAAGAGACTTTGAAAAGCCCAACGGCCCAAAGATGCCCGTTTTTAATATAAGATCATACTGAGGTGGTGTCTCTTGGTTTCTCCAGTGCTATAGCTTCAATTTGATCCTAGTTAAGTGTACACTCCAAGAATTCTAGTTGGGTAGCAGTGGTTTCTCCTGACTTCGGCATCTTCCATAAATGGCCGTCAGTTCATGAATGACAAACAAAGTAATACCAGAAATAATTACTGTCATTGCAAGAGAGAAAGTTCTGTGACTCAAGTAGACAGCCACCACAGCAATTCCAAAAATCAAAATAATCCAGTAACAAACAAATTGAAACGTTTGCAGATTCTACTTGAACATGCTTCTTGCATTATTCTTTGAAATCAAATCCTCTGGTTATCAGCTTGGGTAGCTGAGATCATGAGTCTCATCTAGTATTAAAAGCAACTCTTCTGCAACAGAAACCAGCAAATATACTTCAAGATAAAATACCAGGGGACAACGCTTTAGTATATTTTTAACAGTGGAAATTAACACTCTTATTAATAAATTACAAAATTCTGATTTTAATGGCTGAGGAGATTGAGGTTGAGAAAGGTTAACTACTTTGTTCATATTCATCCAACATTAGTATAAGGCAGCAGTTCTCATCACCCCTGGTGGTCCCCCAAACCCTTTCAGGGGTCCCATAGGTCAGATATGTGTTCATAAAAATACTAAGACATTGTCATTTTTATTCTTATTCTCTCGTGAGTACACCGAATAGCAATTAACCTTTAAGAAATTACTACTCATCAAATTTTAATATTATGTTAAAGAATAGCTATAGTTATCAGAAAGGCCACTAAAATGCTTTTTTCCCTGCCCACTTGTATGTCTGCGTAAAGCTGGATTTTCTTCACATACTTCAGTTTGACATATTACAACAGATTGAATGCAGAAGCCTTTAAGAGAATTGGCCTGTCTTCTTTTAAGTGAGATATTAAAGAGATTTCTCAAAATGTGTTTTGGGAAACACATTTTGGGAAATGTGTTTCCCAAAACAGTGCTACTCATCTTACTAATTTTTCAAGGAGCAAATTATAATTTTTTCCTTTAAAAATGTGTTATTTATGCTGACATGTAATAGATTTGTAATTATTATGAAGTAAATATTTTAAGACTCCAGTTTTAGTTTCTAATATGAGAAATATCAATAGAAATAACCTGCATGAACAAGAGCTCTTGGGTGTCCTCAGTAATTTTAAGAGTGTTTAAGACAAAACAAAACTGCTAAGGTTAAGGTATAAAATAAAATATAAAAATTTACTCAGTGTTCAGCTATACAGAGATAATCATTCTAGAGATCTCTCTGTGCAAAGACAATATATAAGACAACTGAGTAAAAAGACAAAATGGCATTACGTCACATATTTTTATTTTGAATAAAAACAATTAAATTTTAGTTTTACTTGAACTTAACAGAAGGTATTAAATGGAAGGAATTGTTGACCTTGAGATGCTTTTTTTCACAAAGAATATTAGTTTGTAAAAATGATACCTCTAAGGTAAGAAAAAATGATTATGAAAACCAATTTCTTGCTACATATTTTAATTTTAGGTCATGTATGTAGAGACTTCTTGTTTGTGAAAAATGAGAAAGCACACCCTTCTGTAATTCTTACGTTTGTTTAGTCTTGATTCTATATTTAATTCAATGCTCGCATTAGCCCTTTTTCATAACTTCTACGTTCCTTAATTTTTTACTTTTATTTATTGCTTTATTTGCATAGTGTCATTGTTCAGCAACTTCCTTAAGAAGAATTTGTAGGCAATATATAATCTGAGTTTTTGCATATTTGAGAAAATGTCGCCTTCTTTTATACTCAAAGGAGAGCTTTGGGTTAAGTCATTCTTTGCCCTAGAACTTGGAGACACTGCACCACTGTTTTCTGGCTTGGAATGTTATTGTGGAGGAGTCCGAATTCAATGTTTTCTCCTCTGTATATGTGCTTTTCCTGCCCACATTTCTTCCTTAGTCCTAGAGTTTTTAGTATTGATTACTCTTTATTATTTTTAGCGGTGGCAGAGTAAGTCCTTTTATTTTGTATAGTCACATCTTTAGGAAAACTTTCTTGTTATAGTTTTGAATGTTTTTCTTTTGTCTTTTCTAAAATTATAGTCCTCTGCATTTCATTTTACATGGTTTCCTTTAGTCCAGTGCTTCTCAAAAATTAAGCAAGCATAAGAATCAACTAGGAGCTTGTTAACAATGCATAGTCCTGGGCCCTGCCCCTCCAGATTCTACTTTAATAGATGTGTGTGGGATGGGACCTGATAATTTGTGTTTTCTGACAAGTTGCCAGTGTTGCTGATGGTGCAAGTCCACAGATCTCATCTTGTCTAACCCAGTAGTTCTTAAATTTCCAGTCTCTGGATCTTTAACCTCTCCCCTGCCTTTAAATTGAGGTATAATTGGCATATTATAACACTGTGTTAGTTTTAGATGTACAACATAATGACATATGTATATGTTGTGAAATGACCACCACAGTAATTTTAGTTAATATATTTCATCCCATATAGTGACAGGTTTTTTTTTCCTTGAGATGAGAATTTGTAAGATTTAGCAACTTTGAAATATATTAACTGTAATCACTGTGCTGTATTTTTGACCACCTTCACCCATTTCACCCGCCCTCACCCAGGATTCCTTTACTCTTAAATAAAAATTACTGAAGTCCTCAAAGATCTTTGTGAGTTATGTTTATTGATATTGAAACTGAGAAAATTTACAAATATTTATTAATTCATTTAAAAATAACTGATGAACTCATATATAAACATTTTAATAAAAAAGCAAACAAACATTTACTGAGAAGAGTGACATTATTTTACATCTTTGCATACATCTTAATGAAAGAGCTTTTTTGCTTTCTCTCTGTTGGATAGATATCACATGTAATGTAGCCTCTGGAAAGCTCCATTGTATACTTGTGAGAAAGGAAAATAATATTATAGTATTGTTTAAAAAAAAGTTTTGAATTCGTGAACTCCTGAAAGGGTTTTGAGGCTCCTGGACCAAACTGTGAGAACTGCTGCTTTATAGTAATGCTTAGATTTTTTTTTTTTTTTTAAGAAGGAGAGTTACTCAAATTGGTTTGTAAGAGATTTGACAGTGTAGATCTTAAAAGCCTTTTATATTTTCAGGTGACTTACTGAGTAACCTGTTGCAGAGTCCTAGTTCAGCCAAACTGTTGAACCAGCCAATCCCCATCCTTGATGCGGAGAGTGAGTATATCTGTTCCCTGGCCTTGGAGTGCCTGGCCCATCTCTTCAGTTGGATTCCTCTGTCTGCCAGCATCACCCCATCCCTCCTTACCACCATCTTCCACTTTGCGCGCTTTGGCTGTGACATCCGGGCCAAAAAGATGGCATCAGTTAACGGCAGCAGCCAGAACTGTGTATTGGGTCAGGAGCGCGGCCGGCTTGGGGTCCTGGCCATGTCCTGCATCAATGAACTCATGTCCAAGAACTGTGTGCCTATGGAGTTCGAGGAGTATTTACTGCGTATGTTCCAGCAGACTTTCTACCTCCTGCAGAAAATCACCAAGGATAACAATGCCCACACGGTGAAGAGCAGGCTAGAAGAACTCGATGAGAGGTAATACAAATAGGTGTAGAGTCGGCTGTGCCCTGAGAAAGGGCCTTGACTAGTTATCACGGTGTGCTGCATGGTGTCTGTAATCCTCTTTGGTTTCAGAATGTGGGGCTCCCGATGAGCAACAGAAAGGTAGGTGTGTACCAGTAAGTCTAAACTTAGCTGGAAGGGCTAGGGTGGTTAAGGGAAATGAGGTGAGTTTGAAAAGTGATTGTGAATTGTGTAGGTTTGTTGTCTTTTTTCCCCATCCATCTCCTGTTCTCCCTTCCACCCCTCTCCTCCCCTCTTCCTCACTATTTGCCTGCAGGTCTGAGGTGCTGCAGGAACTGAGACTGCTGCTCATGTGTAGTCAAGAACAGGAGAGGAGGTCCGTGGAGGTACAGGAGTTATGATCACCCCTTCTCACTTGATGTGGCTTGTCAGTTTTTACTATTTGACTTTTCCCAAGTGAACATCAGGCAGTATATGGGAATATTGTTACTATTGTAAGGTTTACACAGATGGCACGTTTTCATCAAAAGAAAGGAGAGATGTTAATTGGGGCACAAGTTAATGTAACAGACACCTGTGTTTCTTTTTACTGTCCTCCTGAATAGAGCCTAAAATTACCTAACTTTTCTTTCTTAAGTACTATAAAAGATGACTTTTATCACAGTACTCTGAGACATGGTCTCATTATTTATTTCCCTTGCAGATGATGTCATTTACCTGTCTTACAACTTTCACTAATAGGGAGTTACTGTGGTGTAAAATCAAGAGGGAAAATTGGAAACTTACGTTAATAACATCATGTTGACTGTTCAGAAACTTCCAAGCAGATAAATTGTATTGAATTAGTAAATAAGTATAGATTGTCTGTCAGCCAAAGTTAATATTTTAATCAATTTTCCTTGGCTTGTTTCTTGTTATTAAGCTATACAGAGTTAAGTTACTTCTTTTTCCTTAGAGTAAATAGAAGAATATAAGTCTAGTGCCTAAAGTTAAGACATTTTTGGTGTTTTTTAAATTTAGTAATTTTAATAAGTTTTTCTAAATTAAAAAAATTGGTACATAAGATTATTTTGGTTTGCCTCATTGTAAACAAGCTTTGTGTAAAATTTTCTTTGTACAGTTATAAAAGAACTCATCTAGTATAGTAATGTTTTATTTTTCATTATTCGGTAATAACTTTCTATATGAATTCAAAGGCATCGGTATTCAAACACATTTTATATTTTTTCTAGCTTTGGTTAAGAAAGGCTTTATGTTCATATTAAAAAAAAATCTAACTGCTTGTACCAACCATCATTATCAGTTGATTTGACTTTTACTTGTAGCATAATGTTTGTTATGGCTTATCCTCGGGCGGTATAGAAATGTTGTCATGGGTTATCTTTGTATTGATTTTGTTACATGTAACTTTTGTGCTCTTGGTTTTTTATTTTAATCCTATGCTTCCTATTGCCCCGTGAAAGCTGAGAGGTGCCTGGAAGCAGAAAGGTGACATAATACTGTGTGCTCGCTTCCTGGCTCTTGAGTCCCTTACCACTAATTCTAAACAGCTCAGTCCATTCTCGGTTGTTGAGGAGCTACTTACCCAGGTCCTTTGCTTCTCTTCTCCTTTACTGCCTTTTTTCTAACTTTCTACTGCTCATTAGCACCTGTACCAGAAGGTGGGGAAGGGAAAGAAAATGAGGTGAAATAAAATCTGTAGTTTTAGCTACTCAACAGCCTTGTTTGTATTCTTTAAAAAATTGGGTTGGAGATTAAAATAAAAATTGAGATTGCTTGATATATTACCCATGACTTCTTTTTATTCTTTTATGGGTGGCAGGGAATTGAGTGCATCTTCTCAAAGAGCAGCAAACTGGTTGGCGATTTTGAAAATCCATGTAAAAATGTAATAAGCTAAATGAGGAGTGAGAATTTCCTACTCATGAGCATTAGTGATTGAAGGCATCAGAGAGAAGTCTCTTTGTACTTTTCTATCTCTAAAAACAGTTGATTTCAGTGCCTTACTGTTTTTCAAGTATTTGGCAAACACATTAAGTTGTTTTTTTAAACCTACAAATAAGTTTATATATGTGTGGAGGTCAGACAGACTGGTTGGCCACCCTTGGAGCAATAGGTCCCAGGAACAGTATGTGACATTTTATTTATGGGCCAGTTTTGCTCTTTTTAGTTGTAATCTTTTTCTCCCCCTTTATTATTTTACGTATCTGTGCTTTAAAAAATAGTGTTTTGTAGTTACAAGTTTCAGAATTGATTTTAGCCATTATTTAATTTTTGGCTAAGGCCTTTTATGTCTGTATCTTTTTTTTATTGGTCTCTGAAATGTGATTTATAGAGATATGTCCATCTCATTTTCTAATCACCTTTTGGTATTTAGGGGCTTAAAATGACAGTTTCTGAAATGTGAGAGTGATGATGTGCTGTGTATTTAATAGCAAAAATCTCTTATCCTTGCGGCTGTGACCCACTCTCTTCTGTGAAATGATTTTATGAATACAAATAAATTGGGGATGCACTGTGATGTGAAAAGGAGGAGCCCTGGATTGGGAGGGAATGGTAGTTCCATTCTGCCATGAGCTGGCTGAGTGACCTCAGGCCCGTCACTTTATCTCTCTGGGCCTCATCTTTAAAATGAAGCATTAGATTAAGTTGTCCTGAGGCTTTTTCAGCTCTAACAGTCTCCCTTCCTTACGTTTGAAATCACTTTGGAGTGGATTGCGATGTGCTATGTTTAATTAGCACCAGGAGTGAGAGGGCAGGCCTGAATATATCTTACTTGGATGCCATGCCTTTTGTATAGCCTTGTTTTGTTTTTGTCTTTTTAGCACATTTATTTTAATGTTTTAGCCTCCTGGCATAGAAAACAGCCTTCCATACTTGCCACATTGAAATGACACAAATGATCTGCCCATCAACTTTTTAGTACCATTTCCTTTCACTTTAATTGGGTCATAACACTAATGAGTTGGAAAATATGAGAGCACTAGCTTATAAGATGCCTTAGTACATGGTGTCTGAGGATTAAAGTTGCTTTTTTGCTATGTTTCAGGTGGTAATGGAATGAAGGGTTGCCTGAGCTGTAGGTAATTTTTGCAGGCCTTTACCTTTATATTTTTAACTGAAAATATAAATCTGTGTAGTTCTGTACTGAAAGAAATTTGGATTGAATTTGAGATCTGTTCTAAGGAGGTGACTAGGTTTTTATTGTCACCTTTGTCTTCTTGTCTTAATTCAGCTACATTGAGAAGTTTACTGACTTTCTGCGGCTTTTTGTGAGTGTGCACCTAAGAAGAATCGAGTCCTACTCCCAGTTCCCTGTGGTGGAGTTTTTGACACTTTTGTTCAAGTACACATTTCATCAGGTAAAGCACCAGAATTGCCCCTTCCTTCCCCAAAAGTCTACTTTGTTAGTTTCAGGAGAAGAACTACTTTATTTCCTAAACATTTATATAGTGCTTATTATGTGAAGATTAACACATTTATCCTTCATAACTACCCCATGAGGTATTAGTAGTATTATCATATCTATCTACAGATAAAGAACCCGAGGCACAAAAAGTAACTTTCTCGGGGTCATACAATTAATAAGCAGTGGAGTCAGGATTTGAACCCAAGATTTGTGCTCTTAATCACTGTTATGTTGGATAAGCAAAATATAGAAAAAGTCTGAAATTAGGGCCTTTAGTGCTATAACTGTCACCACAGGAGGTTAGTGAAGCTCTTAAGAGTTAAGTTTTGGTGGATTTATTTTTTCCCTCTATTCAACAAATGTTTTTTGAACTCATATTGTATTTCAGAAGCTAGGCATATAACCCTTAAAGTCCTTGCCTTCATCGAGTTTATATTCTAGTGATTCAGTCTTTTTTATATGTATATTTTTAACACTTTATTGAGATAAAATTTAAATACTACTGAATTCACCGATTGTAATTGTACAATTCAGTGATGTTCAATAAATTTATAGACTTGTGCAGCCATTACTACAGTCTACTTGTAGACATTTCTGTTATACCTTATCCCTTGTGTCCATTGTATGTGTTTTTAATCAGCTTTTTATTGAAGTATTACACACACAGAGAAAAGTACATAAATCATACATGTACAGCTTGATGCATTTTTCCAAAATGAACAAACCATGTAACGACCACCTAAGTCAAGAAGTAGAACATTACCAGCACCCCCGGAAATCCCCGCCTGTCCCTTCCCAATCACTTCCCCCACACTTCTCTCCGGAAGTAATCCCAATCTTGGCCTTAACATCCCAGATTAGTTTTGCCTGTTTTAGACTTCTCTAAGTGGAAACGTACAAGGCGTATTTGTCTTGTCTGGCTTTTTGTCATTTAGTATTGTTTGTGAGATTCATCTGTGTTATATGGCAGTAGTTTGTTTATTTTTATTGCTTTATAGTAAGTCATTATCTGAAAATCCATTCCACTGCTGATTTGGGCTACTTCCAGTTTTGGTGATCATGAATCATGTTGCAGTGAACATTTTTGCATACATTTTTTGGAGTACATATGTAGCTCTTTTGTTGGTATATAGTAGGGATGAAACAGCTGGGTTGTTTGAACTGCTAATGTAGCTTAATTGAGACTAGAGGAGAGGCAAGGGTCTAGGCTAGGAGGGAGGTGTGTATGTGACAGGGGATTTGGAGTAAGAATTTAATGTGAGAGCTAGCCTTTCTCAAAGAGATACTTGGCACGTAAAAGTCAGATTACCCAGTGGTAAGGCTGAACCATTCCTGGGAACCAGAGGGAAGGGTGCAGGTGGAAGAGGATGACTAAAGGTTGAAGAAGTCTCAAGATGTCTGACAGAGGAGCCAGTGAGTGCAGAATAAAAAGGAAAACACACAGAGCTCACCAGACCTAAGAAGAGATAGCAGAGGCGATGAGATGTGGGAGGATGAGGATATAGAAGAGAAGCATCAGAGGTGGTGTTTTGAGACAGGTCCAGAGACATCTTAAAGGGGACCAGGAAAAAAGGATTTGATAGATACCTTAGGATTAAGTATAGCAGAAATGAAAGATAAGGAGCCAGTGCTGAGGTGAGAAAGAAGGAGTTTATTTGGGAAAATGGAATGAAAATGTCTTGCTGTTTTGCTCCGTATGTAGAAAGGGATCTTTTGGTATATATGGTATAGAAGAAAGCTGAAAAATTTTGTTAAAGTGTTCATGTTTTATGCCTACTTCTTTGGACTTGAACCCAAAAATTCTGTGTTGAGTTCTGGTTATTTCTATTAGGTCTGTGTCCTTGGAAAGGTTTTTTTAAATTTCCTTCCATTTCAGTTTCCTCACCTAAAGAGATTGGCTGCAGTGGGCATCTTCATGGTCTTTGGCCAGTGTTCATCTTTTATGATTCTTTCACTAGAATCCCGTGTGTTTGTTTTCCATTGAATCGAAAGTGGTGGTTGTATACATTTCTACATGTTATATTTACATACTGGAAAAAGAAATAGATATGGTAATGAAGTGAACAACGAGGTTCTGTCAGCCGACCTCCTATGTGAGGCCCTTTCTTTCTGGGTGCAGACTCTCAGACTGTGAGAGTTGGTGTCCTGGGCAGAAGCAGATTCTGAGCATCAGGCAGAGGGGCAGGAACCTGGAACGTTCTCTGTGCGGTTTACTATAGCGTAGGCAGCCCTTTGCTGGAAAGGCAGAGTGGAGGAAAGGTGGCAGGGCATACTCTGTGATTAGGAGCTGGTGGCAGGGAAGCTTTTTAGGATAAGATTTAAGAATAAGAAGTTAAATGCTCTCCAGAGAGAGCTTTACGTTCTCATCTACTCACTAACTGTGAACTTACTTTATCATAGTTTAATTATCTGGAAAGTGAAAAGATGTGTCTTCTTGTCTAGAGGGATATTTATTAATAGGAATACTCAATATTTTTTGCCTTTGTTTCTAAAATTTATAGACATCTTAGTACTGATAAACGTAATTGAGAGAATAGTAATAAAGATGGTGTTAGTGTCTTCTTTTTACCAGTTCCTCTCCTCTATTTCTTTTCCTGCATTTTTTCTTTCACCTAAGTGTCTTGCTTCAGTCCCTCCAGCCACTAGGGCTGACCACCCGTTCGCCTCCACCATCACTTTATTTCCTTGCTGAGTCCCTGAAGTGTCTGTATAAGCACATGATTTCTGTCATTCTCTTCCTTCTTTTACTGTATCATTACCAATTCCTTCTTGGTCTTGCATTTTTCATTTTGCCTCTTCTTCTTAAAACTCTGAAATAGTATGGCATGGGGTGTAGGGGAGGGCTCTAGACCAGAGTCTTAAGATACATATTCTAGTTCTGTTTCTGTTCCTTATCATGTCATTTTGGGCAAGTAACCTTGCTTCTGAACCTTGGTTTCTATATCCTTGGTTTCTATATATTCTATAGAAAATAGATCCGTCCACTTTCCAGGACTATTGTGAAGATCAGATAGACTGATGAAAATGACAGCTAACCACAACAAACCATGTGGGGATAAGAGTGATACTGTTATTAGTGATACTATTATTCTTAAAGAGACTTGACAGGATCTTCTGTGATTAATCAGCCCTGGAATCTGAAAAGTAAATCTGAGTACAGGTACATTTTTAAAATGGGTCTATGAGTCATGGATTCTGAAAAGTTGAATGACTCCAAAAGTATAGCCAGCCTATCATCTTTATGATCGTAACCATCTGTGCCCACAGCAGTTGTCAAAGGCCAGACCATAGGTAGTGCAGTGCACAAGGCCTCACAGTGAGGCCTGCATGTGTGGATGTGAATGGTGGTGTTTCAGGTTCCACAGAGGGTATATATGCCCATCTTTTTTTCCCCAGCCTTGAGCCACACAGTAAATCCTCAATTCAGATGCATGAGGAAGATTTGTATATTTGTAAAGAGTATTGATATCGCTGTAAAACCTGGATTTATGTGGTGGCTTTTCGCAAAAGGACTTCCATATGATCTGATCAGTTAATGTTCTTTGGAGGGACTGGTGGGTATCTTCAAACTAAGGAAGGACAACTGGATGACTTACTTAAGGGAAGCTCAGCAAGCCAAAGCCAGGACAAGACTACATATATTTCCTGGCTATGCAAGTTGAGTGTCTGTCTGCCAGCTACTCATCTTATTTTCACATGGCTTATTCATTGTTTCTCTAGCTTATTCTTCTACTTTTTCTTATCTTACAGACATCTTGGTTTTACGAAGTAGGAAGTGGAGACGGGAAATGGTCTTTTCAAGTTTTCTGAGGATGGTCCTATCAGTGGCCCTGATTGAGCTGTAGCAGTCTAGTTCTACCCTGTGGATTGTGAGCTTAGAGTCTGCCTATTTTTTAAGTTACAGTTTTTTTGCCTTAGATTCAGCTTGAGTACAAAACTCGCATTGCCCGCTGCCACCCAGTGTTAGTTATTTTTCGGGCAAATTCCGTACATTCCCTTGTAAACTTCTGGATTTCCTTGTAGATCAGAAATGGAAGGAAAACTGAGCCAAGAAGAAGAAGGTATTATTTTTTTTCCATATCCGATCCTGCCACCAATTACGTGGTTCAATGAAGCACTCAAAAGTGAAACCAAAGAGTTCTTGGAAGTAGCAAGAATTTGAGTGGATATGTAAGGGATTGGGGGACCACAAGTCGAAACTGAATGTATATAAGAAGGACTAGATGTTGGAGAATATAGTGCCTGGATTTTGTATAAACTAGAATCTCAAAGTTCTTTAGTTAGTGCAGAGGTCCAGCACAGGACCCAGCAAAGACTGTCTTCTCTCCTTACATTGTCCTTAACACCAGGTTAGAGGTTGCTGTTAGCCTGTAGGACACTCCTACTTTTACAGTTAAGATAATGCCCAAGACTTAAGAAGCTCATTTTCAAATCTGTTGCATAGTAAGACTGTAAGTGTTATTTTCATGATGTTTAAATATGTAAACTTGGCACCTTTGGAGCCACTGAAACTTATTTTTGGTTTTGTGCTAATATGTAGTAGAGAGCCCATTGGTGGAGGGGTGGGGGGAGGGGTAAAGAAACCTGCTCCTTCTCCTTGACCTTGAGTAAATCGTGTCTCTGGTTCTCAATTTCTTTTTCTGTGAAACAGATTTGAATTGAACGATCCGTAAGAGCCCTCCTCACCTGTTAGGATAGATGTTTGCTTGGCTTGTTTTGTAACTCAGTATGTCCTGCATGGTATCTCCCTAATGATGTGTTCCATGGTACCCTAGTCTCATTGAGTTCAACAGGGCTCAATCATGAAGATCAACTAAAGACACCAGTTGCGGTTACCAAGAAGTTGAAGGGAATACAGGCTTGTGGGTGTTTTTTCTAAGGAGAATTTGCATTAAGTAATTTTATTGTCTGGATTTCTTTTGCACCATAGCCTACTCATGAAGGTTACTTCTTCAAGTAAAATTAAAAGTCGTCTGGGAGACAAGGAAGCAGTTCTCAACAGGTAAACCCCAGAAACATTTATTACTAGAGACAGACATTTTTGCCAGTTTTTCTTAAGGCTTGAAAGGGCAACCGTGAAGCCAAGACCTCTTCAGTTTAAGTAGTAATGCCATTGAGTATTTTCTTCTTTTTTTCCCCTTAAATATCTCATTTCCCCTTAAATATCTCATAAGCCGTTTAAGTAGTAATGCCATTGAGTATTTTCTTCTTTTTTTCCCCTTAAATATCTCATTTTCTGAAAACATTTTTTTCTGATTAAAATAATACATATTGTTAATTTTTTAGGTGTGATAATGCTTTTGTGTTTTCTTTTTATTGGTACTACTTTAGAGATACAAATTGAACTATTTTATTGGATGAAGTAATAGTGATATCTGGGATTTGCTTTAAAATAATCCACTAGGCATAAAGGGGAAAGTGGGATTGGCTGTATGTTGATAATTAATGTTGAAAAGGAACTTGAGTTTCATTACATTCTTTATTCTTTTGTATGCATTTGAAAATTTTCTATATAAAGTAATAAATACTGGTCATGAAGAAGTATTTATTTTAGAGACCAGAAAAAGATAAATGTAAAGAAGATAAGTTATCCATAATCCCACAATCCGGAGGTAATTACTTTTGTACTTTTAATTGTATTTTTTAAAAGTAGAAAATAGGGAGATGTTTTTTCCCCCATGTTTCTCTAGCCCATTTTTCTTGCCGGTAGGCAGAAAGTATGTTTCCTGTATACTATGGTCATTATTTCATTTCAGAAACGAAATAATGAGCTAATGTATCTAGCATGCTTGGCATATTATGAATGCTCATTAAATGTATCAATGGTTGGTGGTGAAGATTGTGAATACTCCTTCCCCAGAAGCCCAATGGAGGTGGTGAGGAGAACCCCCGCCCGGGTAGAGGTCTAGAACCCTTTCCATTGCTGAGGTTTTATGAGGTTTAAAAAATTTTAAACAATATTTTTATTCCCAGTTTAAACATTTACACTTTTGTTCCCAAACATTATTTTTGTGATTGCAAAATAGATTCCAAGTTGCTATGGTGCCAGGTCGAATGTGGTTATGGGTAGTATATTCATATATCAGAAACCTTATTACACAACAGTAGATCTTGTTTTTGGTGAATTTGCCAACTGTAAGTATTTGACTTTTTGAATGAGATTCTTCAAAGAAAAGGTACTTCCACCAGATTGGCTTTCTTGGATGCCCAGCAGTTGCTCCTGGCACTGCCTGATTTTGCTATATTTAATGGTAGATATTCTTTCACATCTCTCAGGCTGTTGGGTTAATAAACTGGGGAAATGATGAATATGAAAATGTTTTTTAAAGCACAGTAATATGCTTAAATGTGCTTTAAGTGTGGAGAATAATAGTTCCATTGAGAAAATGTACACTAGCAGATTATTACTATTAAATATACACTTATTCATGTTTTTGTACCAATAGAGCAGGGGTATAGAGTTTAAATTCCTTTCTGCTTCCTGGTAGCAGTGTTACTTTTGGTTAGGTTATATGCTGACTGCATTTCCTGTTGTAAAATGAGCATACTAATACCTCTGTTGAAGGATGGTTATAATTTAAGGAAATTATGTATATAAAACACCTGGCACAGCATCTAGCATGTCTTAGGCACTCAGTAAATGTTCACAGTGATGACCCCAACAGTAATAATAAGTAATAGATGATGTTGCTGCCGTTTGGCTGTGGTGTTTTAACCATAGAGTTAAGTGACAAGGCGCCTCTGGACAGCCTCAAGGCCTTTAGTCCCTCTTGCAGATGTTGACCTGTCTGCCTAGGCATCTGCCATCTGATATCATCTAATATCCCAGTTGTCAGTAGTTCTGGCTAACCACTTTAAACACTAGGAGTTTTTCTTATTGCTCATTTGATTATTGTCCTAATTTTTCTAATTTTTCATGACTTTTTTTTTTTTTTTTTTTTTTTTTTTTTTTTTTTTTTTTTTTTTTTTTTTTTTTTTAACATGCACATATAACACTTTTATGCCTTTAAAAAAAAACCTCAAACTCCAAACCTTCAAAGCTTATGTATGATTTATGCTGTTAAAGAGTAACCACCATCAGGGGACCTGCTTATTGATGTAGTATATTTTATCTGTCACCTCTATACATTTATACAAGTGTGTTCTCAGAAGTTTTTAAATGAAAATTTTGAAAGTTTGGCAGCCACTGCTCTAGGTTATGAAAGACCTCAATATATCAGAGTGCTTGGTTTTGCAGAAGCAGCTGATAAAGAGCACTGTACTGGTAATTGGCCCATTCATTTTAACTAAGAGCTTACAAATGTTTTTCAACTGAAAAAATATATCTGAAAGAAGTTAGGGTACTTTTGGAATCACACTTGTGGCTTGAGCCAGAATTTCAGAAACTGATCTTGCAGGAAGTAGTCAAGAATGTTTTCTCGGTGTCTTAAATGGGAAACGTAGGTGTGGTTAAGTCACAAAGGCAGCACCGAGTTCCTGTCCCTTGTGGTTTAAAGGTTTTTCATCATCACAACAAAGTGGTAGGCATTGTAGGCTACAAATTTAGAAGCACAAATGTACATGGATTTATTTTTGGTCTTAGGCACTTGGAAATTGGATGGAGCTATGCATGTTCCTTGCTCAGTGAGAATGCTCAAGAGTTTCTTGACTGGAGCTGGTGGGGACTTGAGAGAACTTGAGTCCCAGTGCTAATGGAGTAAATGTTCTGTATTATACCCAGCTGAAAAGGATTGCTGGTGGGGCTCATTGTCCAGATTTACCATTTTGAGGTGGTATGGAAAGACCTGCATTTCAGTCTCGTTTTCCTTGCTGAAACTTTGGGGATGGTTGTATCTACCTTACACGTTGTTGAGAAAATTAAATGAACCAACGTATGAAGTACCTAGGCTGACAGTAACTGCTCAGTAAATAATTATTGGTTCTCTTCTCTTTTCTCTCTCACTCCTTTCTCTCTGTGCTTGTCAATGTGAAGGGAGCCACCTGTGTAGAAACTTATTTTTACAGGAAGATGAGGAAATCGAAGCGAGTTAAGCAACCAAAAGTTATTGAGCCATGACCTGTGAACCTCTTTGTCATGAGAATATGGGCAAGTGCTGGCCACAGACCAGCCAGGGATTCCTGGTGACTAGATTGGACTGTAAACAAATGCGAGTGAGCATGAGAAAAATTGCTGCCCTTTTTTTTTCGAGTGGTTTTTCTGCTTAATAAAGAGGAAGTGCCATTATGACACATGACATTTTGATATAATTAATAATAGGTGTTAACTAGGTTTATATTAGGGCTCTAGTAGCTTTCTAATACCTGCTGAAAGAAATTTGTGCTATTGACTGGCCTTAAAGAGCAAGTGAATGGGTCTTATTCATTACAGAATTGAAAAAGCTATCCAGGATTATGCTTTAGTCCTTTGTTGTTATCTGACTTGGACTTTTGTTTATTGCCTGTGTGTTTATTTATTCCATTGTTCATTTGTTCTTTCATTCAGATACTTAACTGAACACTTACTATGTAATTGCCTTAACATGTATAATTAAAACTCTCAGACGTTGGGATGCTGTTGGAATTACATGTGTCTTGAGCCACATAGGTTATAGGTTTTTCTCTATTGTATATTTAAGCATTTAAATCTATAAATTTCCCTCTGAGAAGTACTTTAGCTTTAGCCATCAAATTTTAATATGTTCTGTTTGCTTTTTCATTGTTTAATACTTTTAAAATTTTCTTGAGATTTCTTCTTTAATTTCCAGATATTTGGAGGTTTTCTATATATCTTGTTATTACTTTATTCTGGTTAATACAGATCTGCAAACATAGTTGGTGTGATTTCAGTTCTTTTCAGTTTGTTAAGGTTTGTCTTACTTATGTCCTAGTTCACCATGCACTTGAAGAGCGTGTGTGTTCTGCCGTTGTTGGGTGGAGCATTCTATAAATGTCGGTCAGGTCAGCTTGGTTACTCACATTCTACCTGTTGTCCTTATCTGGCTTGTCTGTCCACTACCAAGAGAGCGAAGCGGTGAGCTCTCCAAGCATAACGGTGGCTTTGTCTAGGCCTCTTTTTACTTCTATCAGTTTTTGCTTTATTTATTTTGAGACTCTTAGTTGCACACAAATTTGGTTTTCCTTTTCAGTGTATCTACTGAGTGTTTGACTATCTCATGAGTTTTTTTGGTGGTTGCTCTGGGTTTTATAATATGTATACTTGGCACTTTTTTTTTTTTTTTTACCACTTTAAGGTAGAAAACCATACCACCATATAGATCCTTTACCCTCTCTTCTTTATTGAGGTTGCTGTATGTTCTACCTCTGTGTACATTGAAAACCACATCAGTCAGTGTTCAGTTTTTGTTTTCATCTACCATTCATGTTTTAAAAATTTTAACGAGAGAAATAGTCTTTTGTTTTTTCTCAGACATTTGCCAAATCTCTTGCTTCTCCTTCCTTCTTTCTTACCATTTACCTTCTCTATTAGTCAGCTTAGTCTGCCATAATAAAATACCACAGGTTGGGTGGCTTAAACAACAGAAATTTATTTTGTCATAGCTCTGGAGTCTAGAAGTCACAGATCAGGGTGCTGGCAGCTGTAGTTTCTGGTGAGGACTCTCTTCCTGGCTTGCAGATGCTGCCTTCCCTCTGTGTCCCCACGTGGCCTTTCTCCTGTGCTTGCTCAGGGGGAGAGAGCGAGCAAGCACACACACGTTGTGTTGGTTCATACAAGGGCACTAGTCCTACTGGATTAAGGCCCTACTGTTATGACCCCACTTAACCATTATTACCTTCTTATAGACCTTCAAATATAGTCACACTGGGGGTTAGGGCTTTCACATAGGAATTTGAGTGGACACAATTCAGTCCATAACACTTTCCATCTGAAGAACCTTATGGAGGATGGTTATGAGAGCTGCTTTAAAAAGTCTTCGATAATTCCAACGTAAGTGTCATCTTGAGGTTGGAATCCGTTGTTTGTCTTTCCCTGATAAATGGTCGGTGTCTTCTCATTTCTTTGTATGTTGACTAATATTAGGGGTCCTTTTACATATTTGTTCTCCCAGCCGTAGGCATGGTTTCCATCTCCACAGTCACCTTATGGTCATGATAGATGCTGAATATACAGACATCACACCCACGAGTCAAGCAGCAGGAAAGAGAAGAGAGAGAATTTAGACAAAAGAAGCTTTACCAGAGGCCCCACCCAGTGACTTCTTTTAATGTCTTTGACCACACCACTACGTGCAAGTGAGGCTGGAAAATGTAGTCTTTCAGATGGCCTCAGTGCCCAGTGTTCACTAAGAAGGAAATAATGGGCATTGGGTAGGCAGCCAGAGTCTGCCACATCTATATACTCCCCCAAACTCTCCAAATACTTTGGGAGATCAATTGCCTAAGTGTACGTTAACATGGTTCCTATTTGGCTTTAATTTTCTAAGTGATATATATATATTTTTTTTTTTGCAGCCAGAGTTGCCAACTGCCAGTAAGGGTTTTAGGTCTAATTTAGACTTTGCATACAAAGTCTTTAAATTCTCTTTTAGCTCAACAAGACAACTTACAGATGACAGATTTCATCTGTACTCTAGTCTGAAGTGGATTTTCTTTCCTAGCAAAATTGTGAAAATGTTTTGGTCCGTCATAGCAAATTATAGCATGAAACTTCTGTAACTTGAGGAATTTGTTTCCTGAGCAAATGGCAAATATAAGCTTCAGGCTTAATGTTTGATCTTAACTTTCTCTGAAGTCTACTGAAGTGGGATTTTGATTCTCTTGGCAATTTTCCCACAGAGGTTGCCTGTTTTATTGGTGATTTTTCTCTGCCAGCATTCCCTTCTGGGCCACGCTCAGTTGTCAATCTAGTCTCGGTTGATTAGTCATTTACAAAGACTGAGGCACTCGTTGGGGGGAGGTGTGGGCAGCGTTTCTCTACTGAAGAAATGACCTCTTGTGCCTACCACACTCTGAAAAGTGATAGTTCAGGAGGATTTTTTAGTAGTCTTTAGACTGCCTCTCTACAGAGTCTCATCATATGAATTGTACTTAGACTTGATAGACTGTATTAGATCTTGGCATTGGATACCTTTTAGCTTTGGTCATCTTGTTGTCCTTGTACTCACCTGTATAGATTAGGTGGTTTATTAGAATCCTGTCAGGAAAACAAAGCACGCTTAATTATTTTAAGAATTCAATGTAGGAAAATGATTAAATTGGTTTTAGAGGACTGGTAAAGCAAAAGGGGAACATTGAGATAACACAGATGATTAGCTACAGGAAGCAGCTCCACCCCTAGGATTAGGGGTACAAAGGAAAGAGTTTGGGGTTATGGGAATTTGGAATATCGGAGGGATGAGCCCCAGGCAGCTAGACCTCGGATCTCTGAGGAGAGGGCACTGCTCAGCTGCCCCGGGACCTCCAGGAGGGGCCCCAGGAGCTGGGGCTCAGTCCTTTGAGGAGAGGGTGTAACTGGTACCTCCGAGGGTGCGTGATGAGGCTGGTTCTGGGAGTTTGGAAGCTGGAAACTGGAACCAATTATTACTACCTGGTGACCATTTTTGGGGTGATACTGCTGGGACAGCAAGCCCACAGGAAGAACAGCATTCCTTTGCTCCTCCTGCCTTCCGGTCTTCCTCCTGCACCCCTGTTGTCAGAGCCTAACGGGCAGAGGAGAAATGTGCTTTGCACAGTGTCAGCCTCAGCATTACACAGGGTGGAGAGCAGATTGGCACTGAGAGCCAAATAACCAGCATGGACGGTTTGCTTTATGAGTGGGAGCAATCCCTGTACTTAGAAACATTTCAGGACAGCAAGCATTCAGGCAACATGAGTTATTCTTGAAAATTAGTGGTTTGTTGGTTCTTGTGGTAGCAACTGTTGTATACAGTTTGGTGTCTTCTGAGTTAAATTCTTTTCACATGTGAGCAATATCCAAGCCTCAGGCTCCAAATGTTTCTGTGAGAAATTATTCTCAGACGTAGATCCAAGAGTCAGGGTTTCCCCAGGCCTTTTCCATTTATCTGTTTAGGTTTTACATGTTCTTAAAAATGATTAAAAATTAGGTTTTAGGGAGTGGGTGGAGCAGGCTTTGAGCCCATTGGTGGTTGTGTGTAGAGAGAAGACTATGGGTTGTTGAGTTAGGGAGCCCTGGGTTCAAATCAGCTAGCTTTGTAACCTTGGACAATTTATTTAACTTCTGTCAACTGTAGTTTTCTTATCAGAAAAACGCCATTAATATCAGCTACCTCTCACAGTTGTTAAAAGGGTTGAATCATTGAATTAATTGACATATATAATATATGTATGTATATGTGTATATATATACATACATATATATATTACCTCTAATCTCCAGGGCAACCACTGAGAAAATAACTAGAAAATAACTCTAATATAAAAGAAATGGCGAGGGAATTAAAATGGTATACTGGAAAATACCTATTTAACACAAAAGAAGGCGGTGATGGAGGAGTTGAGGAACAAAAGATATGACAGAGAAAATAAGTAGCAAAATGGCAGAGCTAAGTCCTTCCTTTTCAGTAATTATATTAAATGTAATGGATTAACTTCTCCAGTTAAACAGCAGAGATTGACAGAATGGATTAAAAAACATGGTCCAACTACATATTGTCTATAAGAGACTTAAGTTTCAAAGACACAAATAGGTTGAAAATAAAAGGATAGAAAAAGATAACCCATGCAAACAATAACCTGAAGAGATCCAGGATAGCTATACTAATAACAGACAAAATAGGCTTTAAGACAAAAATTGCTACCAGAGACAAGGATATTATATAATGATAATTGGGTCAATCTATCAAGAAAGTGCCTGGAACATAGTTAAATAAATACCTCTGTTACTGTTCTACTCTCATATACACACTTGTCAACCCATAAACTAAATTTAGTTTAGATGTTGCTTGTATATGGTAATTCAACACATGGACACCATTCTCTTCATTTTCGAAATCCTAGGTTAAAACTTGCTTTCACCTGATGTTGAACTTCTCCCTGTCATGTAGGTACGAAGACGCCCTAGTCCTCTTGCTCACGGAGGTGTTGAATCGAATCCAGTTCAGATATAACCAGGCCCAGTTGGAGGAGTTGGATGATGAGACACTGGATGATGATGTAAGTGGCACACCCTAACTGACCTTTAATCACTGTCATGTTGTGGCATGAATCAATATGGAGACTTGGAACCTGTCAGCCCTCTGCTCTGGAGACTGTTTTTAAGCCAAAGTAGTCTTCTGGTTTGAATTGTGCATTTGAAATTTATATCCTCCCTGGTCTCTTTGGGTTCATTAACTTAGTAAAAAAAGTCTTACAGGCATTTTTACCTATATAGACTAGAAATGTAAATACATATGTACGCTGAAAAGTGGTTTAAAAGAACTCTATATTCCTCCTGTTCCCCTGCCTTGCACCCACACCTCCACTCCCCTCAGTGGGCAACAAATACAAGCTAGTTGGATGCTGGTGGGAATAGTTAAAGAGATACTTAGATGATAAGGCTAGAATGAAAGAATGTTTCTTTTGAGTATATTTTGTAAACTGGTATCTCTTAAAAAATCAATCTTGAATTTATCGATGCTAGTGTACCCCACATTAATAAGAAAAATGTCTTTAAGGACATAACTTCTTTGTTCTTTTTCCTTAACTACATGCACTTTAAAATTTTCAAGTCACTGGAATAGCTTTCAAAATAACACTGACTATTGCATCATCAAGACCTTTGAGGGTAGCCAGGTTGGCTTAGAAAGAGCCCTATACTTGGAACCAGATGTCCTGGATTTGAATCTTTGCATCCTTGGGTGCGAAGGAGATAGAGGTCTGAGCGTTGAATTTCTCTGAGCCTTAATTTTCTCATCTCCCAGAAGGGGGATGATACATCTGTGTTCACAGTTCCATGAGGGGAACACATGAGAGAAGGACTGGCTACGTGCCTGGTGCGTAGTAGGTACTTAGTAAACTTTAGCTTCACTTCTTGTTAACTGTATGATTTAGGGCAGTGCATCTCATATTACAGTCTAGATAAGCTTCACTGGGACAACTTGTTAAATGGAGTTTGATTCAGGAGGTTGGAGTGGGGCCACAGCATTTGCATTTCTGATAAGCCTCCAGGAGATGCTAATGTTGCCTGTCTGTAGACCGGACTTTGAGTGGCACTAATGTAGTTAGTTATAGGAGCATGGTAATGGACTGCCTCTGAAGGCAGTGAGTGACCAATACCTAGAGCCGGGATGACGTAAAAGGGACTGAAAACATTTCACAGATGGCTTTTTTATATCTGGATTCCTATATGACTGTAGGGGAAAAAGTAGGTGATTCTATGTGGTTCATTTCTGTTCTTAGGAAAAAGCTTTTAGTGACATTAATTCATTGGATTTAAAAAATATATTAGCCTTTTTAAAGTACTAGAAAATGATTTTATTATTTGCTGTTTCTTCAGAATGCTATGTCTGAGAGTAGACTTGAGGCAGAGGACTAATTGGCAAGGAAGGTGACAAGACCCTGCCTGTTAAGAGAGCTGACCCTTTTGTGTTTCCCCTGCAGCAGCAGACAGAGTGGCAGCGGTACTTACGCCAGAGCTTGGAGGTGGTGGCCAAAGTGATGGAGCTCCTTCCCACACACGCCTTCTCGACACTGGTAACTCACTGTTTGGAGGGGGATGAAGAGCCTTGTGATTTCCCTGCACATGTGTCCTGAGTAGTATGGCTTTTTTGCTCACCGGTATTGTAAAAATATGTATTCTAAATAGAGAATAATAATTATCATAACCAACACTTAAATTTATCAAATGTTAGCATTTTCCCAAAATATTTTAAATCTACTTTTGGAAGCCCTGTTTTTCTTTCCTAAACTCTTGGATATAATATGAATTGTATTAATGCCTTCCTCAGTAGCTCGAAAGAGGCCAGGCCAAGTAGAGGATTTATTTATATGAATTACATTGCTAGCCATTGTAAAGTTCACTCTTGACAAGTTGCTGGCACTCTGCCTACATTTATATGCTGGAACCTTTAGTCATAAGGACTGATGTTATTCATTAAGTGGTACTTGTTTTTGAGGAGATTTCATTAAGCCCATCTCTTCTTCAAAGGCAAGACAATTTGTTGGGGTCAGCTTTGCATTGCACAACCCAGCTGTATCTTGTGTTCTCTTATGGAAAGTGCCATTTTATTTTGTCATCCGCCTTTCTTAGGGACGTGTCACATTAAAGTTTTATTTTAATGGTGAATTAGCAGCTTAGAAAGTAGTGAGTTAGCAGTTCAGAAAGAAAAGATACAGCTCTGGTTATGAAGGTCCTGTCTGCTAAATAAGGAAGGGAAACTGACTTCCAGATAACTTCGCTCGTCTTTTCACGTTGCCATGCACTTCAATAAAGGCATATCTATATTTCTCTCAAAGATAGGGTTTCCCTTGGATTCGAAGGGAGATAGGTCTGTCTCAGAACTCTTGTAGGTGCAGATCATTTTGAGGCTTGGTGTCCTCTTTGAGGTACATAGTAGTCATATCCAGCATCCACTGCCTCGTTTAAAAAAAAAAGTACCAAACTGATGTTTTCTTTCTTAGTCCAAATATTAATTGGTGGTTTCAGTTATAGAAATTGCCGGGGGCAGGGGCACTGAAGGGAGCCATCTTTTCTTAGCTGCATGTAAAGGTTCCCAGGGAGTAGTTTTTATCCCCCACTATAGGTACTTGTACTGCTTTAATGGTAAAATGCTGTTAAAACTCGAATTTGTGTTTTGTTTTTGTTTTTTTTTAAATCTTTGTTTCTTTGTTTTTCAGTTCCCAGTTCTTCAGGACAATTTAGACGTTTATCTGGGGTTACAGCAGTTTATAGTTACTTCAGGGTCAGGTAAACTGGTTTTTATTGTCTAATTTAACCAACATTCAAAAACAATTGACTAACATTTAATTATTGCCGTTGCTGTCAGAACATGATTTGTCCACTGCCACCTTCCTACTGCTCCACCTCTCCCCACTTCTAAACAGAAAAAAAGAAAAAATCATGATAAAGAGGAGCGTGGGGGAATAAACGATGAGGCTGTGACAGTATATTCCAAAGAGGTGTTTCATTGAGAGCGAGAGATAATTTGAGCAAAGAGGTAGTTTTTTAAAAAAAACCCTAGCAACTGGAATATGTCCTTACGTCCTTTAAACCTGCAAGTGTGTTAGGAAAAAAACGACCGTGGGCTTTACTGTGGTGTGCTGTTTCTTCTCTGGGTGTTAGAATCCAGTAGGACAAAGGAGCAACTCCGGAATAGGCAAACTCCACTAGAGCATGGGGGTAGCTAGTAAATGTTAGCTTTCTTTTTGTAAATGGCCTGTGGGCGGATCTGACCATAGCTAGTTGGAAAGACTCTGGGCTGCCATTTACAAGTTTCACCTGCTTGGAATTTAGAGTTAGCACTTTTTTTGTTAGTAATAACCTCCATTTGTAAAACACTCGTTACATACCAGGTACTATATTATTTGCTTATTTTATTTCATTCTCTCAACTGTCTTGTAAGGTTATAAGCATTAATACTAGTTACCTCTATTTCACAGAAGAGGAAATCAGATGTCACATAGCTTGTTATTGTTAGTCCCAAGATGGTATAATGGGGAATGAATGATAAAAAGTTGAATCTGACATTTATTATGCCGATGAAAACACTAGACACTTAATACTGTGCTTGCAAACATGACTGTGTTCCCCCTCCTCCTCCATCTCCTAAAGTCATTTCATACTCTTCTTCACACCGTTTTCCTTACAAGAATTATGTCTGGCCCGGGCCTGCAGCCCCTCTGTTATGTAACTCTGTTGTTTCAGCCTGGCACAGAGCTGCCCAAGGTGCAGCCCTGCTCCTGGACGAGCTTGTTATTCATGGCAGAGCCCCCATGAGAGGCTGTTTCTGAGACTGCCCTTCTTTGTGGCCTGTGACTGCTTGTTTCCATGACTATTAGCTTCTAAATAATCCACTGGGCCCCAGGAGGTTGATGGGACTTGGCATGTCCCAAGTACAGGCCCCGGTTTTGTAGATAGGATAAGAACAGCTTATACAGAACTTTAAAAAGACCACTTATCAAAGCAAACATGCCTGCAAAGTAATGTTGTCAACATTAATGAAAATCATTTGACTGTATATAAATGCTGCAGATGTTTCCAGAATCCATTCTTGGGAAAAATTGTGCCCTGGTGGTCTCTCTCAGAATGTAGTCAGGACCCCGAAGACATTATCCTTGATCTTAGAAATAAAAAAAATTGAGCGTGTATTTCCTCCCCCCAAAATTGACCACTAGGTTTCCTTTTTATAGCTGACTTTTCTATGTTACATTGAGTCTGCCTTCAGGTGAAAATCTGAAGTGATTCTTAAATCCTTTTTCTGAGACACAGCTGATAACATAGAGCTTCTCCTCTGAGAAGGATAATGTGTCTTATTTTTCTCTAAATGAAATATCATATACCTGCTCTCACTGAAGCCCATTTACTGGCAATTTCCCAGTGCTCTTGGCGCTTCTAGATCATTTATAAATCTCATCCCTAGCCTGGTCTTTAGTACCTACTCCAGTGGCAAAACCTCTCAGGCCAGAGAAATACTTATTTTCTGTTTTAAAATGAGCTCTCTTATCCATGATGAAGAATTCACTCATCCCTTGGTGGCTCAAAAGCCAAGTTTCCAATGCAAAGGCTATTAAAAAATGGAAACTCTTGAGTACATTCTGTCCCTGGTTCCCATGGCCATTCATCCCCTCAAATAACCTCCATGCTGTATTAGTCAGCCTTATTGCCTCGTAACAGAAACCGTGTTATCCTTTCCCCAATAGTTTATGGCCCACTTCTTTCATTAGCATATATCTAGCCAGTCTTTAATTCTTGGGTCTCCTCTGGAGCCTTTGTGGATGGGGAGTCTCACTGTTTACTCTGCTGCTGCTGATTTTACTGCTTCCACTTCTTCAGTAAAGCCCACGGCAGAACACGTCTTGGCTGTGGCACATCAGTTAACTGTGCTTTCTAACCCCTGAGGTGCCTTGCCCTCGCTGTCTGTCTTTCCCACCGTTTGTGGGGTGAGAAATCCTCTCATTAGTGGTTGTGCCCCTTGTACTTCATTTGTGTCCTTAACTTGGCCCTAAGGTATCCATTTGTATGTATATTTGGCTTCGTCACTGCTCATTGAGATCTTCCCTCACTGGGACAGTATTTCTGCTCTAAATAACCCTGTTCACTTTCTTTTTTAGCCATGTAGACTTTCTGGTCTAAAAGATTGGTTTATTTACAATATATAAGATTTTTGGACCTTAGATTTCTTTGTTCTGCTTTGGTTCATTTATTGCTTGTTTGTTCTCTTAGGATGGAATGTTGCAAATGCTAACTTTCACACCTTCACGTTCCCCAGCCTTCTCAAAAAGAGAAGACCAAATTACATGTAACATTAAGATATTTTTTTTCCAGGGCAGTGATTTACCAGGGACCTGTTCTTTGGATGTGGCTTAGAGCACATCTGGACAGCTTCAGTAGACTTGGTTTGTGGAAGATAGGACTTCAGTGTGGCCGTGATGTTTTCACTCTCTAAAACCTATATGCAGCAGTATTTTCATCTGGAAGTTCCACTTTGCAGACATTCTGTACTGTTGTCAGGAGATCTAAGCTTAGCCAAGTAGAAGAAAATGTGGGTGGATCTGAACAGCTTTTCATAGTGGGAACTCTGGCCTGTCTCCTCAGGTTGAGGTGCCTTGCATGATTTTGTGTTGGTGGTGGTGGCGGCGATACGAGGTTTCTAGGCTGTGGGGTGAGGCAGAGGCTTGAATTTGGAGTATTTACTGCATGTGTGTTTGCCTCGCAGATAGAATAGAGCAGGAAAGAACCAGCTACAGTTTTGATTAACATGCACCTTAGATGGCACATATGTGTTAAGATGAATTATATGGAATTGCAATTTTGTAAGGTCAAGATACATTAAGATGAATTATATGGAATTGCAATTTTGTGTGTTTTATTAACTCTTAGTGCAAACTAAGAGTTAATAAAACACACACACATACAACAGTTCTGAGCTTTTATTCTTTGTAGGTACTGCTCTTTGTTAGACAAATTAGGGCAGGTTTAGTGGGGAGTGATCAGGACGGCAAGGATTCTCAGGAGGGTGGCGCGGGAAATGGAAGGGACCGCCAGGGGTTTATTTCAGCCAAGAAAATTTGCAAGAATGTTATCCCTGTCTAAATATCTCCCCAAGACTGTTGTGTGTCAGCTGGCTTGGGCTTGTTTTGTACTCTATCCTCCAGGGGTGGGACAGGGGGATGAGGAATGACAGACAGATTTCCCATTTTTGACCAAGCTGATTAGAGATGGAAGGCTCCCTCAAGAAGCATTGGGCTCTTTGACACCCAGTTGAGGTGTCCAGGAAGAGGCAGGTGGGAAGGAGCAGTGCTGAGGGAATGCCATCATCAGATGCTTTTGTGTGCATACGGGGGGAAGAGGGGAAGGCCTGAGTAAGATAACTTTTAAGCTGTCTAACAACTGTCTTTTTGGGACTGTACTAAAATGGAAACTTGATTTAGGGTGATGGTTTGATTTGTTTCTTAAAAGAGAAATCCAGAATGTTTCCCCTTATGCTTAAAATATTTAAGAACCTAGTTCTTAAGGGTACCTAGTTCTAGATATTAAGTACAACAAATAAGTGGAAAACTCGTGGTCAGGGCGGAGCTTGGTGAGAGATAAGTGGCAGATGAAGATGGGTGTGTACAGGAGGATGAGAGGTTATTGATGCTCATTCAGACTCCACCCACATCGCTCATTGAAAGGAAAGTTGTCCTCATCTCATCTGTACTACCACCACATCCAGTTTCCTGGGCATATTTTTCATAAGGGTTTGTTCCCCACCGAGCCTGAAGGCTTGGCTGGTGTGCAGGGAAACAAGTTTTAGAAGCTTACCCTGGGAGTTGGTTACCTGGCTGTCACCCTGAAAATCTTGGACATTCAGAAGGTGTATAATTGTGCTCCTTTTGTTAACTGGGAGATGAGGAGAGGGACAGTGTTCCCTCTCACATGACCCAGCATGACCAGAAATACTTTCTGGTTCTGTCTATCCTGTGGGCTCATCTGGCTGGTGGTGTGGGGTGGTCCTCTTCTTGCTCTGACTAGGGGAGCTGGCTCACTCTCTCCCACCCCAGGGGCCTCGCAGGGGTGCTGCGGGCTGGTAATTCTGTTTGCTATGCCAAGGGCACTGCTTTCCACGTGGAGAGGAGGAGGGAGGAACAGGCGACTGGGGGCTGGTCAGAGCTGGCCCTTGTCACTGGGTCTTAACTTGTAAAGGCCCTTCCTTGAGCTGCTCCTTCCTTTTGTTCTCTTGCTCCTTGGAATGTGACCAAGTGTAACAGTGCCCTGACCAAAGTGTCCCCTTTTCCAGGCTCCTATTCTCCCATGGAGGCTGTCACTGTTTCCAGCCTCGTCACTTGGAAGTCAGTGTGGGATTTGGGGCATGAAACTTACTACTTCATGCACCACCTTCTTCATGGGTGTTCAGCCTTGCTGGTTTCCTTCCCACAGGTGTTGCCTATCCATATTCACCTTTAAATACTAAAGTGAATATTCCCAAGGGTGGCATGAGGAAATTGAGCTCCGGAGACTCTGTCTCCTGCTCTATCTAGTTTGCTTTCTGTTGTGTAGTATTGAACTCATTCTCACATTTGTGGTCCCTGTGCTGTACCAGGTGGGGTGTGACACTGGGCGTGGCCCCTCACCATGAAGGCCTTGTTTATGCAGAGAAGACTTGTAAATCATTAGTGTATTTCTGTCTCTGCATGAGGTGCTCTGGAGGAATGCAAGACAGAGAGAAGCACGTCCTCTCTGTTGGGGGAGTGGTGGGTAGGCCTCCTGGAAGGGATGATGCCTGTATGAATCAGGAGGGTACGTAAGAGCATCCAAGGCAGGGGGTGGGCAGAGGATGAAATGGGCAGTCCAGGCAGAGATGCGAGGCGCTGGGGGTGGGCATGGTTATCAGTGGGTCCAGATGATACAGTGGGATAGTAGGTGAGGTCATGAGAGACTTGGAATTGATGCTGGGAGCTCGGGCTCTCCCCCTTTAGCTGGGGAGAGCCCCAGAAGAGTTTGGCACCTTGCTCCAGGGGAGCTATGTGCTTAGATCAGGTTCTAGGAAGATGTTTGTGGAGAGCTGGGGGAGGAGGGTTGGTGATGATCACTCTGAGGCACTTGCCTCCTAACAGTAAAAACCTGAAGTGGCAGTGGAGGGAAAAGGCTTGAAAAGTGTTTAGGGAATGTTGGGATTGCAGGTGCCCTGTGGGCAGGGATCCAACTATTACTACTCCTCCCTCCCTCCTGCTGGGTGAAGGAGAACTTTATCAGACTTAGAGCCCTCTCCTCTGGCTTGATAATTCTTACTGTCTTTTATAGTGGGGTGAGGGGCCCAAAAGGCAAGAAAGTCACTAAATTAAGGATGTTTTTGCCTTTCATCTTTGCTTCATTCTTGTTCAGCTTAAACAAATTATGTTGAAAAGTAGGAAAGTTTTAGGCCTTAGAAGATCACTAGCTCTTTGTTTTTCATAATTGTTAAAAACCATTATTAAATAATGGTTTTTAGTTCAGAGATTTTTTAAAAAAATAGATTCTAACTTAGCCCTTATAATAGTGAATTAGTTAATAGCATTATTTTCCATTTTAAAGATGTGGAAACTGAGACTTAGAAGGGCTCACTGAGGCACAGCCAGTGAGTGGAAGGGAGTCTATGCTTTCTGAATCCCCAGTCCTGTGTTCCGTATTTCATGTCGTGATCCTATAACTCTTCTGCGGGGAGTGCTGAGTGCACCCAGTTCTTCGAGCAGGGGTGAATCCTATCTCAGCCCATGGAGATGGTATACTACCACCATGCCATATGGAGAAGGCAAGCAGGTTTAGAGTTGCTTAGACACGGAGCTTAGGACACTAGCTCTGCTCTGGAAATGTGACCCAAATTGGGCAAGTTACCAGGCCTCCCTGGGTGTGTTTTCTTGTATGTAAAATTGGTGGTATCAAACTCTCACAGGGTCAAGAGGAATCGGATGGGGGCTTGGTCCATGTCAGCACAGCCGAGGCTGTCTGTCCGTCTTCCTCTGTTGTCTGTCCCTCCCTCTGGCTCTGGAGTGCATGTGGGTACGGCTTTAGGTGGAGACAGTGCCCAATTTCCTTGCTTAGTCCTGGGAAAGAGCCTGTGGGTTTCTGTGTTTCAAGAATTGGTTTTGCTAAATGTAGCTTGCCTGAATGAGCTATTATCTATCGTGGTAACTAAAGCGTGTTCTTCCTGTGAAAAACTGTCTGAGGTCTTACGTTTTAGGACATAGGTTGAACATCACCGCAGAGAACGACTGCCGGCGATTGCACTGTTCCCTGAGAGATTTGAGCTCCCTGCTGCAGGCCGTGGGCCGCTTAGC